CAGCCCTCCCTTCAACCCCTCCATTCCTCCCTATTTACAAAGATTTTGTTCCTATTTTTCCATTTTCTCATATTAATCCCATTCCCTTCTATCCTAAGAAAAGCATTCTATTAATATAATGGGTTCGTTTAATTCATGGCCTTCAGTGTTTGAGCCTACACTGCTATAACACGTAGTTGTGCACGTGGCTGTTTCTGAATAGTTCGACCTTTTGGATGTAAATGTTTTTCTGCCTGCCCCATAGCATCTAACAGAATATTACGGAATAGGCAGTTCAGACACTTACTCAGCTTCATCTGTATTGCTTAGGTTGTTTGTTTGTTTTCAGAAGGGTCTCACCAGGTAGCCCAGGCAGGCCTTGAACTCACTGTGTAGCCCAGGCTGGCCTCGAATTTGTGGAGATCCTCCTGCCTCAGCCTCTCGAGTGCTGGGATGACAGGCGTGTGAAGGTTGTGAAATCAGCATGCTACTCCAGGCTGACTCAAGTCAGAATTTAAGCCTCTCACCCCATCATGCCTTTCCCTGCCACGGCCCTGGGGACAGGGGTGGAAAGAGAACATCTGCACTTGGAAAGTCACCTCCCAGCAGCCTCAGGCTGTGAGCTGAGAAGTGAGTGTTGTCCTCCTCAGGGCTCCAATTCGGAGATGGTGACATCTGTCAGGAGCACCGACAGCTGGGAGCCGGGCCGGGAGCCGCCGGAACTGCAGGCCCAGCAGGGAGGTGAGCACCGGACTCTGATTTCCTAGAGCAAAGCAGCACAAAGAGATGGTTCTTCCGCCTGGCTGCCTCCTGTGTGTACAGTGGTCCTTACCCTGCTGTCCTGCTGTGGGCCGCGTGTTTGAGGCCCCTGCAGGTGTGAGCCTACTGGCCTGCTGGGTCCATAGTCAGGCGGCCCTCCTGGCTGGGGCGGGAGTGGGCGCCAGGCCTCGCCCAGAGCTTTGGGTCAGCAGCAGTGTCCATTCACTGTTTCTTCTTTCCCAAGAGATTAGGTAACAGGAAAACTGTGTGTTCACTACAGGGAAGATGATGCTAAGCAGGAGAAATGTAAAATCACCTGCCATTTTTTTTTCAGTGCTGGGGATCAAACCCAGGCCTTATTCTAGGCAAGCGCTCTGCCTCTGAGCAGCCCCCTGCAATTCTTTGGTTTTTTTTTTTTTTGGACTGGGGATCGAACTCAGGACCTTGTACTTCCAAGGCAGGCGGCAGAACCACTGAGCTAAATCCTCAGCCCCCCCCCGCAATTCTTGTATCTAGAAATAATCATTGACATACAGTGAACATTCATTGCTTAAGTTTATGTGTTATTTTGAATATTTTTTGGCTTCTGTTAAAATTTTGTACTTTTTTCACTGAAATTATATTGTGAGATCTATTCTGTTTACATTTTTTCTTTGAGGTGATTCTTACAAAATTACCTTTTGAAAGCCAGGTGTGGTGGCATATCCCTGTGATCCCGGCATTTGGGAGGCCGAGGCAGGATTGCCATGAGTTTGAGGCCATCCTGGGCTACAGAGTGAGTTTGAGGCCAGCCTGAACTACATAGTGAGGCCCTGTCTTAAAAAAGAAAAAAAGGGCTGGGGATTTAGCTCAGTGGTACGACTGCCTGCCTCGAAAGCGCAAGTTCTGAGTTCGATGCCCATTACCCCCCCCAAAAAGAACCCCCAAATTACCTTTTGAGGTATTATTTTGGGTTTTCTTTTCTTCTGGTACTGAGAATTGAACTCAGGACTTTGCACTTGCCAGGCAGGCGCGGTACCACTGAGCTAATCCCTGGCCCCATTTTTGGGTTTTCTTGATTCTTTTTTAGTGTATGTGCTGCCAAAGCGAGCACTTCTTCATTCTTTTTTATAATTCATTTCTTACTGTGAAGCATTTATAATTTGGAGCCATAGTTTTGAACTCATATTAGCCACCACAGCCAGCCCTTGCAATGATAGTATCTTTAGGGATTTTGAATGAATTTTTAAGAAGCCAGGAAATATGTCAGCAGGGGTATAAGAATAGTGCTTCCCTGGTAACAGTTTGTTAGAAACATCTTGGAGTGCCTTAGTATTTTAAGGTAGAAATTTTATTCAGTCAGGTGAACTTTGAGTTCTTGGCAGGTTCCAAATGAGTTAATTTGAGTACAGTGTCTAAAATAGTCCTCAATTTCAAATGAAAGAACTTCAAATTACAAGCAGTAGAAGGACTGTTACAATTGTGTTTGATGGACCGGGGATTTAGCTCAGTGGTTCCACCGCCTATCTTGCAAGTGCAAGGAACCGAGTTCGATCCCCGGTACCAAAAAAAAAAAAAATCTGAAAGATTCAGAACAATTGTGTTTGACATTTCATGAAATCCGGTTGACCCAGGGAATAGGTTTTCATGTACCCTGATTACGTGTAGGCTGCAAACAGTCCAGTGTTGTAAGTGAAGCAGTAACTGAGGTGATGTTTGCTTTGCATCAGAAAGCAGCCAGGACGGCACATCATTCACGGGGGAAACTGCGGGTCTCGATCTCACCCTTGAGGTAAGCTTGGGTTCCACTCTGCATGTGTGACACTACTTTGTTCTCTTGATGAGCAGTGTTTTTAGAGAATACTAGTTGAAGCCTCCAATTCTAGCTGTGCCTTGTATTCCTACTTCAATTAGGGTTACCTTTAACTGGAAATGTTAGGGTGAAAGTCAGCTTCTGTGGGAGACCAAACCCAGGCTCGGCCCGGCTGGGCACCACGTTCGTGCAGCTTCCCCCAGCATGGGGGCCTGGCCGCCGTGCTCGTCAGAGTTGCTGTCAGCCAATGCGCCTGGGTCATAGATTCACCTGACCGAGGGAGGTGAGCAGCCTGGGGAAGCCCAGAGCAGAGGCTTCAGTGCCCTGCAGCAATGTCACAGTGGTGGCCAGGTCTGGCTCGGGCGTTTCCGGGACACGTTCAGGCCACGGCTCGCAGCACAGATGCAGAAGTTCATCACAGGCATCACCAGAGAAGGGCTGGTCTTTACAGTTGCCTAAGTGTGGGATTGTGAGCAGAAGTGGTCCCAGCTTCCACAGCCAGGGGAAGACAGGGTCTCACTGTGCAGTCCAGGCTGGCCTCACACCTGCAGCAGTCCTCCTGCCTCAGCCTCCCAAGGGCTGGGATTACAGGCGTGCATCACTATGCCTGGCTGTGGTCCATCGGGTTCTGAGAACATTGCCAAGGAATTCGATAAGGTTTCCAAGCTAAAAAGAAAAAGACAGGGCTGGGGATTTGGCTCAGTAGTGCTAGCACCTGCCTTGGAAGTGCAAGGTCCTGAGTTTGATCGCCGGTACCAAAAAAAAAAAAAAGAAAAGAAGAGAAAGAAAAAGACAGAAGCCCACTGTTGGCTAACCTTTTACTGTTAAGTAGAAGTCACATCTTCTGGGCTGGGGAGTCTACCAGTGGTAGAGTTTGTGCCTAGCAGGCACAAGGCCCTGGGTTTTGTTTTGTTTTTTGTCTTTTTTGGTACCGGGAATTGAACTCAGGACCATGTGCTTGTGAGGCAGGAATGGTGCTACTGAGCTGCATCCCTGGCCCCAGGCCCTGGATTGATCCCTAGTGTCGAAAAAATGAAACATCACATTTTCATTTTAACCTCAGGTTACTAATACTAGGTACATGGTACTTTTTGAACTGCATAGGAAATATAAGGCTCTTAAGTAGCCCTTGAATTTAATGTCTCTGCATCTGTGAATCTTCAGACAGAGGAAGAAAAGTCACCTGAAGACAACATCTACTTTGGAGCTGCCAGTGATGACTCTGATATTGTTACCCTTGAGCCGCCTAAGTTAGAAGAAGCTGGAAGCCAAGACGCTGTGACTGCCGAGGAGACGCCCGCCTCAGAGGACTTCATGGGCTCCTCTTCCAGCAGCCAGTACACATTCTGTCAGCCGGAAGCTGGTGAGAGCCACAGGGACTGCTCGGACTCCACACTTCACCCAGGCCACCTTCCCACAGGACTTGTTTTCTAACGCTAACCTCAGCTTTGAGTACACCTGGGTGACACTCAGGAGGTGTTTGTAAGTGGACTGCTGTACCCAGGGTCTCCCTGGCCTCTGTGAGGCAGGGTGCAGCGGGCCTCACTGTGACCGTAGCTTGGCTCTGCCGTGCCTGCTGGTCAGTGCCGGCACAGGCCCTGGACTCCCAGGCGAGGGCCCGCAGCGAGCTGTGTCCCCGGCCACAGCGCGGGTTTCTGGAGGAGGGTGGTAAGGCAGTCTCCTGAGCTCCAGTGCGGTTGGCCTTTGGTGTCTTTTGGAGTGGTGGGTCAAGAGATTGTAATTGAAAAGCAGGAGAATATATATATTTTTGCTTACAGCAGTACATACATGCTTTGTAGAAGCAGTGAAATTGTTATTCAAGTCTTTAAAATCTGTTCAGTTACTAGTTATTTGACAGATGTTTGAGTATCTGTCAAGTACAAAACAGGGTTCAAGGAGCGGTTAATAAGGCATTTTCCCAATGATGCTCCTGATCTTTGGTTTTTTACTTTAGACTGTGTTAGGACAGTGTTCCCAGTTTGAGTCAGTTTCTTTTTTTGGTACTGGGGATCGAACTCAGGACCTTGCGCTTGCGAGGCAGGCGGGCCGCCACTGAGCTGCATCCCTGACCATGAGTCAGTTTCTCAGTGGAGTTTGTGCTCCTTGTTCAGACAGAATCTCCTTCGGAGGCCAGTGTTGCCGAGCTGATTCCCCCACGGTTACTTTTTGCTTTGTTTTGTGGCTCAGAGATGGGGCCCTTGCTGTGTCCCCTAGGCTGGCCTTGAACTCAGTCCTCCCACCTGGCCTCTGGGCTGTGGGAGTTCAGGTCTGCACCTTCTGTGCTGCTGCTTTTTCCTCTGTAGCACTGGGGTTGGACCCAGGGCCTTCACACGGAGCTACATCCCCAGCCCTTTCATAGTCTTTCTTTTGTGATGGGGTCTTGCTCAGCTGCCCAGGCTTGGCTAGGACTTGGCACACTGCTGCCTCTTCCAGACATGTCCTCATCAATGGACGGAAACACGGACATGTGCCTTTCACAGAATCCTCTCCGATTTTACTGTCCTTCAGGACTTAACCTTTGGTAGCCAAAACAGATGATAGGATTCAGTCCTTCTAGTGCCGCTAATTGAGTCAACTAGAGATTCTCACTAGCCCACTTATTGATGAGTTATTTTTGGTTATTGATTATGTAGAAAATATTTTACTCAACTCAGTTTAAATACTTCTCATGTTCTTGGTGGTTTGAGGAGAACTCTGGGCTTCCTCAGAAGAGCACGCCTGATCAGTGGCCACTTGGTGCCTGCACACAGGGCTGGCCTGGAGGGGCGTGTGTGCTTTCCCATCCCGCCTCGGCTCCAGCTCCAGCTCTGGCTCAGGCTCAGGCTCAGGCTCAGGTGCCGCACCGTGCAGGCAGTTGGCACACTGTGCTGCCAGGGAGTTGCAAGGGAGAGTGCTGAGGCCGGGTGCTCTTCTCCCGGAATGCTTTGGTCTGTGGTTGACTGAGTCTGGGGTGTGGGCTTGGCACATTTGGTTGGGGGCCAGCTATACAGTGGAACCTCGGTTCATGAACTGGATTCTTTCCATGATTCTTGTCGAAAGCTGAAGTGTCAAGAGCTGAATTAAACTTCCCTACAAGGTCAGCTTGGAACCTAACCATTGAATCTGATTCGGTTCTTCTCATCACGAGGCTTTTTTTTAATGTTTTCTTGCACTCCAGGATTTGTGCTGCACCGTGTTCAGTTTCCCCATTCTTGGTCTGAGAATGGGGGTGTGTCACACAGTTACAACTCAGGCTGGGGTGTGCCGAAGGACTCGAGGTGCCAGATTCACTGGCCCTCTGTCTTCAGGGACACTACGGTCAGGGTCTCCCTGTGTTTGTTTTTGCAGTTAGAGTTACAAAATGGCTCAGGCTGGCCCGGAACGTGGTGGTCCTCTAGCCTCAGCCTCCCACAGTCCTGGAGCTGGAGATGTGCGTCACCATTCCTGGCTTATCTCCTCTCTGAATTCGTAGTTTTTAGAATTTTGCAGTTGGAGTTATATTTTAGTGTTCAGTGCCTTTTTTACCCATTGGTATCCCCTCAGAGAAGTTGTTTCAGCAGCCGAATGTTAAGAAGGGGACAGGTGAGAGAGACTAAGCGTGCTAACCCCGCAGGGCTGTGCTATGCGCAGCTGATCCATCTCTGACCAGGCTGTTTCTATCTGGTTCGCGGCTGCACACGATCAGGCACCAGGTTTTGTTTAGTTTGCTGATTTCCTGCTCCTGTTGCTTAGTCATTTGTTTTCACCTCTTCTTCCTCATCCATACAGGATTTCAGCCTCCTGTTTTCCTCCTAAGCGTGCTTCTTACAGTAATGTGCTTGATAAGCAGGTGCTGCTTGCTGCCGCCCAGGACAAGCATCTGCCTGCAGAAGGCAGAGCAGGTGGGCGCGAGACACGTGCATCACGGGTGTGTGTACTTTCCTAGATCTTAGCACGGCATGTCCAGCTTTACAGTGAGAATTCTCAGTTTTCTTTTGTTCCTTATAATGAAGCTTTACACATCCTTTTTCCGTTTGCACAAAAGCAGGCTGGTGGGAGAAGCTGTGGAAGACCCCTGTGTGCATAAGGGCATGGGATGCCCAGCTGAGACGCCCCTCTGTGGGCCAGCGTGCCCCACAAGGTGCTGTGGCCCAGTGTTGAGTGTGCGGCGTGCTGAGTGCCTGGCACTGCCTCTGTCCTCGTGCTCTGAGTGGGGCGGGCGAATGCTGGGTGAGCCAGCTGCATGTCTGCACTGCTTGCCTTGGGATCACAGGACAGACTACTGCAAAGGTTCAATCAAGGTCAAGGTATGTGAACTTGTAGGTATGGGCTAAGAAAAGTGGGCGCGTCAGGTCAGGACCCGAATGCCTTGGGCAGGGTCGGGCCGGCTTTGAGAATGTCCAGTGAAGCCAGCCTTCATTAGAGCGCCTTGGAAATCTGCTGCAGGACTTTTGACAAATGCTTTGTTTTTATCTTAGCCTAATTCTGTCAGAAAGTCTTGACTGCAGCACTCCAGCCCTGGTCTTGGATGCTGTGGATTATGCAGTGCTTTGTCAAAGAAGTGCAACCTCACACCTGGGGCGACAGCATATTGGAAAAGTCAGTGACCACAAGGAGCCAGCTAAGCATGCTGGCTGAGGGTCCAGACCACAGACCTCTCAGGGGCCATGTCGCTGGCTGCTAGGTAGGCTTAGCTGCTCTGAGGCTCAGCAGTGTCGGTCCTGTGCTGAGCTTGGGCAGGGAGCCGCACCTGCCGTGAGTCCTGCCTTCGGGGACCTGGCTGTGTTCTGAAGCACTGGGTGGAGTGCAGGCTTGTGCACCCGCACCCGGCTTTGCTTTCTTCCCGGCCTGGGGGACTTGTTGCCAAGGGATCCGTTTCTTGCCCATAGGCTGTCAGTGTGTTGGAATCGGAGCAGAGTTGTGAGATCCTGTGTTGGGAGACCTCTCAAGCTGATGTTCCCAGGGATATTGCCTGGGATTGAGTTTTTCGTGCAGTTTTCTTTCCCCGGTTTGTTTTTCTTTGCTGCTGTTTTCAAAGAGGAGCCGCAGTGGATGCAGCCTTGCTGTGGTGTGTGCCACTGTGGTGCTGCCGCCTCCTGGTGCTGAGCCCATGTGGCAGGAGTGCCGAGGAGGGCAGGGCTGGCCCGGCCTCGCTCTGGTGCTGCACAGCCACAGAGGACACCTGGGTCATCGGACCCTTCCTGTGTCCCTTCAGCAGCTAAGCTTACCGCGCCTCTGCCAGCAGTGAGAGCCGTCCTGGGCTCAGCCCCAAGGTCCAGGGCAGGAGCTGGATGGGTGTGTGTGCAGCAGTTCACTTCGTGTCCATGCGCCGGAGGCTTGGAGCTCATGGTGGTGCTTTGGCTGCCTGGCATGAAAAGCACGTAGGGACGGCCTGGACTTTTCTAACTCCAATGTTTGGGGAGGGCTTTTCTAAGTGTGAATAACTGAATGTCAGCATTTTTCTTTTTAAAGTAGTGTTTTCATCTCAGCGAGACCAGGATGGGTCAAGCAGTGAAGAGGCCAGCGATCAGCCCAGTCCCGCCTTTCGCCGGCGCCGTGCTAGGAGGAAGACTGCATTTGGCTCGGAGTCGGAGGAGCAGCCACCTGCCGAGCAGGACCCCACGCCACCCACGGAGCAGCAGAAGCACCAGTTCAGCGGGGGTCTCAACAAGTGTGTGGTGCTGGCCGTGGTGATTGCTGTCAGCATGGGGCTTGGACATTTCTGTGGTGAGTGTGTTTGCAGGGGCGCCTGAGTGCAGGGGTGTGGCGGCTGGGTCAGCTTGGGGCTACCAGCGCCTCAGTCTTCTCATCTGGAAAATGGAGGTGCTGGTGCTTGTCTCACAACCACTGCATCATCGTTTTCATATCTCAAGACCTTTCAATATTTTGTAGAAAGTTCAGTTTAGAGAGGAATCCTTTGAAAAGTGAGAAACTATAGAATTTTCTTGCTAGTAAAATTTACTTCAGTAATTACAATTAATAACACATTTTCCTGAACTTTTTCCTATTAACCTTTTCACAATATGAAAAACGATGATGTAGTACATGAAGTACATGAAGTAGGTCTATACAGCAATGAGATTCCTCTAATGGGAGTAGAAGCCCTAACCTAAGTGACCTTCCAAGGTCACCGTGAAGGACACACAGTTGTGCTGAGATCCAGCACTGCTTGCTGCAGTCCTCAGTCTGCTTAGAGCTCTGGTTTGGATTCCCGTTCGCCACAGCGCTCGTCGCCTTCTGTGGTTGGTCAGTCACTTGCCCTGGCGTCAGTGAGCCACCTGCTCTGAGTCCCTGGGCAGCCTCGTGGGCGTGGCCGGACGTCCGGCCTCCTTGGAAGGCTGAGAACCCTGGTCCTGTCTGTCCTGGGGAGCGTCCGGACTGCACATGTCAGTGCAGCTCTGGGGTCAGCCAGTCACCAATGTGGACACGCGTTAGGCTGAGTCGCCCTGGGGGTGGCCAGGCCTGGCTATGACGGCTGTGGGGGATCTGCCAGCAGGGGGCAGCAGTGGGAGCCTCCTGGCCTGTACAGAAGCGGGCCGGCCGCGTTAGGCTTGCTGAGCTACCTGACAGCCATGAAGGGGTGCTGCTAGGAGACAGTGGCGCGGGCCACCCTGAGCAGCAGCTGGAACCCCAGGTGCTTGGCTGTGGCCTTGGAACTCCGGTGTCAGTGGGGTGGAGAGCAAGTAGGTCAGCAGACGGCCCCGAAGGGGAGGAAGGCGGGAATTCGCTTCTGGTCACTGGGCTGTCATAGCCGACTGACCCGTAGGTGTGGGGTTACTGGTGAGGTTTTGGCAGGCGACAGTAGGTGGCGGCTTAGTCTGGCTCTTTCTTCACTCAGGCACTTGCACGTAGTGAACCAACACAGTGCTTGGTGCCTGCCCTGGGGATCTCGCCTGCTGTGAGGTTATTACCAGCAGGTGCAGAGTTGTCTTGTCTGCATTGGAAACTCACACGTTTTCTGTTCTAGGAATTAGAGATAAGTTTATGTAAATAGTTTTTGAAGTCTTGAGTTTCTTCCGAGTAATTTTGAAATAAGTTTGCCATGCTCCTACAAATGCTAATTTAAAGAGAAGAAACTAATCCTTATGCAGAATTTCATACTTGATAACTGGTGTCAAATGTCTAACAAGGTAAGTTAGAAAAGGTTAGATGGTTTAAGAAATTACAAAATAAGTTTTGTAGCAGTAAGGGTAGAAAAACATAGGAAGCCATCCTAGCATCCTTTCCTTTTAAAATCCTGTGCATGGTGGTGTGCCCACTCAGTAGATGCGAATATCAAGGTTGCTGGATGCTTTTTGCTGCTTTTGACTTAGTAGGTTTTTCCCTCCTGCATGAAGCATGTAACAGCATGTCTTGAAAAAGTAACACTTTTATTTTAAGGTGAGAAATCAAGAAATCTTTATCATGGCTGTGAAAGGGGTGGCGGTACTCAAGTGGTCTTAACCATTGCAGAATTCTTAAAACTTGGGCTGTGACCTGAGCGTGGTGGTTGTGCAGGCTGGTAATCCCAGGATTTGGGAGGCTGAGGCAGGGGGATTACCACAAGTTCGAGGCCAGCCTAGATTACACAGTGAAACCTTGTCTCAAAAAACTAAAAAAAAGAAAAGGCAATTGTGGATTAGCCAGTTATTAGGTATCTCTACTTTCTGGGCTTGTGTTGGGTCCTTTCGGCAGAATATTAAGAGAGACAGACAGAGAAACACTCATTTTTGTATTGACTTAAACTGAAAAGAACCACACCATGGATTGTTCATTTCTCTGTGTAAAGGAAGTTTTTTTTGGTACCAGGGATCGAACTCAGGTCCTTGCGCTTGCAGGGCAGGTGGCAGAACCACTGAGCTAAATCCCTGGCCCCTAATTCATATGACGATTAACATCCACTATCATTTAATGAACAGCACCATGAGTTTTCACTTACTCTTTGTATAATCAGAATTTTTAAACAGTGAAATATTGATATTTTGAAGAAAAGATCCAGACTAAATAATTAGGTAATACATAGATGAACTTTGTTACGTATTTTAAAATGTCAGTAATCATAATGTAGTACGCCCCTAATTAAAGTGTTCATTTTAGGCACAATTCAGAGAGAGAGATGGCAGCAGTTAGTCCCAAAGACACCTGGGAATGAAGCGAGTGACACGGTGGGGCATCTGGCCTGGCATCCCCAGCAGGGGACCCCTCCGGAGGTGAAGGTGCGTACCCGTACCCCGACAGCCCGGATGGGACCGCGGCCCGCAGTGCGCTGCCCTGACGGCACTGCAGGCCGGGACTGGGGAACAGCCCCGCTGCATGGCCTCAGACCTCCCTTGTTTAGCCACTGAGCTTCGACTAGGTTGCTAATGTGGAACTGTAAGTAGGGTGTGCATTAAAATAGTACAAAGAAATGGTCACAGGAAACCAACTTGATGGCTTTGCTTTGATTTGCCTCAGTCTTCGTGCAGCACTGTCATGTATAACAGAACAGAGCTACAGCACTGGATAAGCGAGGTGTCTTGCACAAAAGCAGACACTGAGGCTCTATAAATAAGATGGACAGACCTGTGCCCCCCAAGATGGGCTGTAAGGCCCCCATCGCAGGTGTGATGTGTCCTTACCCGGTGAGTTGCTAAGCGAGGAGTACGTGTACCTGAGTCCTTGAGCACCCGAGGCACCGTATTGGAGCGCATCACAGAGCTCTTAGTTCCCATGACACAAAGTGAGCAAGAGTGAAGTAACTTTCCCGAGGCCAGCAGAGCCCCTGCTTTTCTTTTTTCCCCCGGTACTGAGAATTGAACCTAGGGTCTTCCCACTGAGCCACGTCCCCAGCCCTTGTGGGACAGAGGCCTCACTGAGTCAAAGAATTGCCCAGGCTGGGCTGAACTGGTTCCTCCTACCTCAGCCTCCTAGAGTGCTTGGGATCACAGCAGTGCCTCACACGCCTAGCTAGCATGTGCTAATTTGATTTTAAGTATCTAAGCTTAAATACTTTTTATTTTTTTAATTTTTTGCTTGTTTTTTGGTACCAGGGTTCGAACTCGGGACTTTGTGCTTGCAAGGCAGGCACGGTGCCACTGAGCTCTCTCCCCGACCCTAAATACTTTATTTTATACTGCATTCAGCAAACTTTTATCAGTGTTCTTTTCTAAATACTTTTTAAACAACTGCTATTTTATAATTAACAGTATTTACATTTGACATTTGAAATACATATACACACGTACTGTAGGCATTATTTGCACAGAGCTAAGCAAAACATTTTCAGGGGTTGGGGCCTTCTGACTCCCCCAGGTGCTCCTGGGCTGGTGGGCATGGCTGGACTGATCCAACCTCCTGATGGAAGGGAGCATGTTTTCCTCCCTGATGCCCACAGCACTGCAGTAGAGCACACTGTTAGCTGTCTCCTCCCCAGCCTTCCTAGGGTAGGAAGACCAGCATGGTAGCTGGCTTCCAGCTAGTTCTTCCCTGGGAAAGTGGAAGGACGTCGATAGGCTCAGGCTGTGGCTTTGCGCCACCCCCAGGTCTCTCCTGTGGTTACATGCGCCTCCCTCACAGGCCAAGGACCGTGTTTCTTGGGAAGACAGAATCCCCCTTACGTCCAGAGTGTGCCTTCAAGGGGTCCTACTGAGGTCGTGGTCCGCAGGGCTCTCCCGAGTACCAGAAGGTGTCCTTTTCCCTGTCGCTGTGGCTTCTGGTTCCACAGGGTGACGCTGGCTTTTAGGAGGCTCATTGGGCTCGCTTGTTCCAGACGAGCTGTGTCCAGCTGATGGGGCGGCTCACCATTGTGCATTTCAGGGTTGGCGCTTGCCAGGCCGTGGTGGCTTCAGCCTCTGGGCCTCGGGTCCTCTGCTACAGAGCCGCTGCCCGCACCCCACTCTTCGTAATCGCTCCTCACGGTGCTGGGGTGGGACCCAGGCCCTGACATTTGGGTAGGCGAGCACTGAAGCACTGAGCTGCACTGTTTTCTTCTCTGTTTACAGCCTGGTTAGGGATGAACTAATAGGATTGCATAGCTGACTCCCTTGTCTTTAAATTCCTCCCAGGCTTAGCTGAAAGTAGCTTTCTTGCATGTGAAACTTAGGTTTTCTAATTTTTATACTATTGAAAGTAATACCCAGGGGACAGTACCTGTAGAAATAAAGCCAGTGAAGTTTGTGAGGTGTTAATATCTTAAAGGTTTAAACTCAGCTTTTGAAATCTTGACAACATTCTCTTTCAAAATAGACTTTGAAAGAAAGTCTCAGAAGGTGTCGACTCTTGACTGCCGTGGAGAAGATGTCCCTTGAAGCTCAGAGAAAGAGACTTGCGACCCACAATCACCACCTGAGGGCTTCTCTGGAGAAGGGAGAGCGCACCATGGGCTCACTCCAGGAAGAGCTGTGGAAGCTAAGGGAGCAGATTAAAATATTGGAGGGGAGAGGTACAAGTGCTGAGTTGGTCATAGAAAATCAGAAGCTTAAGCAGCATCTGGAGGATGCAGAACAGAAAACACACAGGTTCCTTAATCAAAAGGAGATTCTGCTGGCAGAAACAAAAATGCTAAGGAGTGAACTGGAGAGAGAACAAAAATTAGCAGCATCTTTACGGATGGAAATTGTGCACCTACAGACTGGTCAGCAGCAGGCCAAGTCAGATTCTCCCCAGGAGAAAAAGGAAATAGCAGTGTTACAGGAAAAACTTGGTGAGCTGGAGCAGAAGCTGAACTTTGAGCAGCAGCGCTCTGACTTGTGGGAAAGGCTGTATATTGAAGCCAAAGACCAGAATGGAAAACCAGACACCGGAAAGCAGAGGGCAGGCAGAGGAAGCCACAGGGCCAAGAGTAAGTCAAAGGAAACGTTCTTGGGAACAGTTAAGGAAACCTTTGATGCCATGAAGAATTCTACCAAGGCGTTTGTGAGGCATCATAAAGAAAAAATTAAACAGGCTAAAGAAGCTATGAAGGAAAATCTCAAAAAGTTCTCAGAGTCAGTTAAGTCCACTTTCCGACATTTTAAAGATACCACCAAGGCTCTCTTTGATGAAAAGGGCAATAAAAGATTTGGGGCTGCAGAAGAAGCAGAGACTGAAAAAAAAGGGCCAGTTTTCACCGGTCGTTCACATCCGAAGCATGAGGCGCCTTCCCCAAACCAGAAGCACCGCGGCCCCAGCGTGCGTCGCGCTGGGAGCCCAGAACAGGGAGCTCGTGGGGCGTGGGCCGGAGGAGCCACCTTTGGCGCTGCCCATGGCTGGCAGGGAGACTGCCACTCCCCTGGACAGGCTGGGCGTCAGGGCTTTGAAAGCGTGCAGCCAGAGCCCTCGAGCCCCTGTAACATGGTGGTGAGTCCTTTGCTGGTAGCTGAATTTAGGGAAGTAATCAGAAGATATTTACTAAAAGAACTGGGCACTTTCCATCATTGGGAAGAGCTTAATGAAATCATCGATCAGTATATCACAAACGGGCTCACAAATCAGAAGACCTTCGCGGACTTTGTTAATGATGTTAAAAATTATCTTAAAAGTATGCAGGAGTACCGACTAGATAATGGAGTGTTTGAGAAGTTGGATGGATACATAGGCAGATACTTTGCCGACTGTTTACTCCCTCTGTTCGGACCCAGGTCGGTTTACTTAGAACCATGTCTTTACAATAGTTTCTGACACTTGTCTGTTGGGTAGTACTTTGTAACACAGAGATATGCTTTATAATCCTGAAAGCTTAGAACAAACTGAAAGGTACAGCTTTAAAATTACAGCTGCTTCATATAGAAAATTCCATGCTACATCATCACTGTTGACTTGAGAAAATGATTATTTTATCTTAAAAATCAGTTAAGGGTATATAAATCCTATTTTCACTGTAATTTATATGAAAAGATGATTGCCTGTGTGATTAATCTGCTTACATGCTCACCTTAGTGGACAGTGCCTGTTCTACTCCGAAATTGGAGGAGCCCGTAGCCAACAGCCCTCCTGTCCCTAGCGCCACCCACTTTGTGTTAACACTCCCCGCCCGGCTGCATTGCTAGGACAGGGGCATGACCACGAGGCGGCGGAGCAGGCAGAGATCCTCACGTGTGCCCGTCTGCCCGTTGTCTGTCAGCTTTTTACCCTGTGACGTGCAGGTCCCCTAACGTTCAAGCGTTAGCTTCCCTTCTTGCCTTTGAGATACATCTATATATTTGCAAATAAAGGCAGTGTGTCTATAAAATAATGAGACTGGTTCTGGTGTCTGTGGTGCCCAGGTGGGCAGAGTGCTGGGCATGTGGGCAGTGAGGAGCCCACGGTGAGGTGGGCAGAGGCAGCCACGTGGTGGCCCGGGGCCTGGCGAGGTGTGCAGAGGCTTCGTGAGGCTTTAGACTCTCCATAGGTTTCAAAGAGCTTTTGAAAGAAATGAGAGTGAGCTCACCCGTTAGGGAGGGCACTTCACTCAGAAGGCCGGGTAGTGCCCGGGTGAATCCGGAAGATTCGGATCACCAAGGGCCTCTGGATCCTGAGGGTGTTTCACAGGAAGGACGTGGACTGGAGAATCCGCAGTGGGGTGGGGGTGGCAATGCCTTCCAGAGTGCTGGCCATGGCCGAAGAAGGGCCAGTGGGAAGTGGAGCTAGGAGGTGGGTAACAGCCATGGACTGCTGGTACCTGAATTAGGACAGCAGAGTGCAAAGGAGACAGATGTGAATGCATGTACTCCATATAGTAGTAAAACTGCAAGGGAAGCTTCCAGAGGGCCCCCTGCTGCACAGCGCCATCTAGCGGCCGCAGCGGCGCGTTTGGAGGCAGCCGTCATGCTCTGGTGCGGGTCGGCCTGAGCTGTGACGGCGAGGTGTGGACAGCAAGGCGTTCAGCCGCAGGCGAGCTCAGATGTCTGCAAGGCTTGGGAACTGAGTGGCGGAGGGCGGCGGTGGGAGCCGCACGGGGTCACGGGGGAGGCAGGCAGTGTAGACGCTGGGAACTGGGGCGAGAGGTGGCAGAGCCTGGCGAGGACTTGTGAGATACGGATTTCTGCTGCAGTAAAGCCAGTGGGGAGGGAGGGATCTTTACAGAACAGAAGGGAAACAATGGAAACATCTCATTATTTTATTGCCACATTTCTATCCCTTGAGCATTCTCTCTCTTGCCCGTAATATTTGTCCTTTGCTTTTTTTTTGGTTTGAGACAAGGTCTCACTATGTAGTTCAGGCTGGGCGGAACTCACGGCCATCTCCCTGCTACACCTTCCCAGGTGCTGGCGTTACAGGTCTGTGCCGCTATGCCTGGCTCTGTCTTTTGCTTATTTTTTTTGGTACCGGGGATGGAACTCGGGTCCTTCCGCTTTCGAGGCAGGCAGTGGAACCACTAAGCTAGATCCCCGGCCCCTTTTGCTTTTTGATAATAGGTCTTACTATGTACTTAACTCAATGCCAGGCTTCTGCAGCCCAGGCTGACTCCAAAACTCAGCAATCCTCCTGCCTCAGCCTCCTGTTATAGGTGTGCACTGCCATGCCCAGCCTTTTTTCTATAGGGTAAAAAAGTGTAATACTTGCACTTACCCCTTTTTTGGCGTGGGTAACTAGGACTGTACTTCATGTTAACATCCTCTTACAGTGTTAAGGTAGATTCATGGAGATAAACATTAAAGTTGTTTTAAAGTTAATTTAAGCTGAACTCTAACATAAATGAAAAATGTGTTTACTACTTTCAGTCGACCTGGTAAAAAGCAACGAATGGTAAATATTGAAAACTCCAGGCACGGAAAACAACAGCAGAAGCACCGTCAGCCACAGCCTTGTAAACAGGAAGGTAAATGGCATAAATGGTCGCACTAGCAGAAGACATAAGGCACATCTGGAAATAGAACTGGGGCAGTTACCTTTTGACCCTAAATACTGATCATGATTGTGTTAAGGAATGCTTTCTATACTGTTTGCTGTTGGAACTAAGATGGAATTACCAAGAGGACACTGTCATTTTTCATTATCGTGTTTAAAGGGGTCAGTTCGATGGCTTCATAGTGGTACGTACAGCACCAATCAGTTAAAAGCTTACTAACCTGCATTTAATAAACCCGTAGTTTAGCTTTGTTAAAAAAAAAATTGGAAGGGGGGGGCGGGGATTTAGCTCTGTGGTTCCGCCACCTGCCTCACAAGGGTAAGGTCCTGAGTTCGATCCCCGGTACCAAAAACAAAAAAAATTTTGGCCCTGGAAAATAGAGTAGTTTTATTAAGGAAGGCAGGCATGGAGCAGGTTTGTGCATGAAGTGCCCTGTGTCCAAGCCGTGCGTGACAGTGTGGTTCAGCCTGCTGTCTGTCAGGTTGGCGGTAGGCAGAACCGCTGTGCAGGTCTCACCTTTAATTCATGACCTTCCACACTTGCTTTTTGTGGGTTTGAGAGCCCGCTGACTTGTGAAGAGTGTGCTGCTCGCAGAGCTTGCTGACTTGTTCTCTTGTGAGCCCCTTGCACATCTGATTGGAAGAAACAATAAAACTACACCATGAGGAAGACCAAAGGTCTTTATTGGAGTCTGGACTAGTGTGTGTCTTTCTGTGACTCCTTGAGTGCAGCCCATCGATCGCAGCGGGATGGACCTCGGCGCCATCTCACCCCGTCCCCTGCAGCCTGGCCGACTTCCGCTCATAGACATAAATGTGGCTTCCAGTCCTGCCCTCTGGGAAGTGAGTGTGGAAGAAAACCGCAGTTCTCTCGTAATTCCCTGAGGTTAGGAAGGCTCGGATCTCCTACAAGTAAATCAGTGTTTGAGAAAAGGCCGCACTTGCTGAGGAATGTTTAAGAGCTAAGAGCCATCCGTTCTGATTTCACCTCTAGCTTCTGGCCTTTTCCCCTGCGGGCGAACCCAGGGCCTCTGTGCAGCCCCACCCCAGCCCTTGGCTACTTTAATTCTTAAGGCACGGGCACTGAACCCAGGGCTCCTCACAGCCCATCTCCAGCCCCCTTTTTAAGTTTGAGACCAGGTCTCACTAAGTCATGAAGTTACCCAGCCTGGGCTCAGGCTCAGGCTCGGGACACTCCTGCCTCAGCCTCCCAAGTGCTGGGCCATAGGCGTGCACCGCCATGGCTGGCTATTTCTTAATACGTGAATTTATGGTAACTGATGTGCCTTGACAGCTGCAGACCTGGGGCTGATTCCGACTGGAGAAGACCGAGGCAAAGTACAGGGGATGACAGGGACCACAGAACAAGCAGTGTTGTCTGCTCGCCTGCTGGCTGAGCCTGAGGTGCATCAGCACCGGGCGCTTTCTTTTCCTATCTACTTGCCTCCTCCAAAACACTGAAGATGATCAGGCGAGCAGGCAGCGGGGTGGCGCGAAACTCCGTCTGGAGCCAGCCTGCGGGGTTGAGGTAGAAAGTGTCCGCCTCATCGAGATACCCGCTCTGCCCAGTCAGGTCTGGGGGGCACTGCAGGAACCGAAGCGGGAGTGGGCAGTGCACGTGGCTGTGAAGGCAGAAGTTGCCACCTGTTACCGTGGCCAAGCAGCGAGCATGCATGTCCCCCATGTCCCCCACTCTGAAGATGCCTCAGGCACTCAGCCAGGTAGGAAGCTGAGGTCGAAACCACAGGGAGACTGGGGTCTGGGTCTGCAGGTGTGCCGGAGACCCGAGGGACACCGGGAAGGGCCCTGCTCCCTCTCTGCTCATGTTCAGACACCAGAGCAACCTGCTCACCAGTGAGCGTGAGCGGCCAGGAGGCTGCTGGCTTTACTGGAGTGCAAGGGTGGGTCCATCTGATGCCAGCCAGGGCCCTTCAAGCCAGGTTCCAGGCCATGCAATGCAAGCCCTCAGGAGAGCTAAATTTCACTTGATAAAGACTGTAAATATCTGGCGAGAAATGGAGTTGAAGGAACCTGTGAGATGCATACAAAGTAAACTTAAGACTTAATAATTTCATGATTTTTATGATCTTGGAGGAGGCCTTGTTTAGATGTTAAAGCAGAAATTCTGAGGGCTGGGGATGTAGTCAGTGGTACAGTGCCTGCCTGGCAAGTGAAAGGCCCTAAGTTCCATTCCCAGTGCCAAAAGGTGAAAAAAAAAAAAAAAAAAAAAAAAAAAACCCCAAAAAGCCCCTCAAAACAAAAAACCTCACCGGGCATGGTGGCACAAGCCTGTAATCCCAGGTTGAGGCAGGAAGATTGCTATGAGTTCGAGGCCATCCTGGGATACATAGTAAGATCCTGCCTCAAAAAAACCAGAAAAAAAATCCTGAGAAGCAGCTGGCAGCCTTTGGGAGGCAGTTAACTGAACTACACAGCGAGACCATCTCAGAAAAGTAAGTGGAAGTGTAAGCTGAGAACCTGAACTCTCTGCAGCCCGCAGCAGCACTTGCTGTCCCCATAGAGGAGAACATCTGGGTCCCTGCAGGCCACCCCTCCCTGCCACATAACCACGAGCTGGCGAAGGACACTGGGGTCTCGTGTCTGGCCTCTGGCTTTTCTAGGCAACACCAGCTTTCCACGTTGTGTGTATTTGGCATTGTTCGGTTGGGTATTCCAAGTGTTACGTCTCCCAAAACAAGACTCATGGTGACACTAAATTACCCGGGCTTGAACCTGAACTGAGTTAAATAGGTGTGGAGTCTGCTGCAGTAAGCTTTATTCTTTCCTGCACCACTCCATACTGTGTTTTCCAAGAGCCTCAATCCCAGCACTGGAAGCGCAAGGCCCTGAGTTTGATTCCTGGTACAAAAAAAAAAAAAATTCACCACTAAATAAATGTGAGTGGGTGTTTAAAGTTCCTTCTCATTTGATTAATAAAAAGCTGACTCAGGGCCGGGGATTTAGCTCAGTGGTTCTACAGCCTGCCTCAAGCACAAGGTCCCGAGTTTGAGCCCCGATACCCAAAAAAAAAAAAGCTGACTCAAATCTGGGAATTTCAGCTTCATTTTCTTACTAACAGCGTCTAGAGCGAGCTTCACTACCTGTAGTAAGGCGTCGAGTGGCAGGGCATCATCATGAACACAGAGGCTGAGGACAGGTTGGCGCTGCTGCAGCCGACTTCCTGAATGTGGCCCATCACGTCAAGAGCCCCTCGCTGGTGAACCAAGCCCGTGTAGAGAGCGAGGAGTGCGTTGGACAGAAGCAGGAAGCTGAGCGCTGGCTTCCTCCACGTCCTCAGGTGGGTGAGCGAGTACCCTGTGTGACAGTGACAAAGACCAGGCTGCGGTTCTGTGCCAGTTCCAGCTCACGGAGCCTCAGGGAGGTGCTGAGCTCTGAGCACTGCCATGGGGTGTGAGACCGAGTTCACCCGGGGAGCCCAGAAACAGAAGGCACTGCATTGAGGGAAGAACCATTGTACTGCTGGACTGAGCCTGGAGAAGCCTGGAGCCCTTGCTCTTCTCACAGGGAAATAGTCTTAGTACATATCTAAGAGGTGATTAACAAGATCCCAGTTAGATTTTGCCGCCCGACAGGCACATTTAACTGCACAGCAACTAATACCAAGATGAAGTTCCGCACAAAAGCCACATTCACATGGTCTGGCTCGGGAAAGTGGATCAGCACATAAGTACGTGTTACCTGACCTAAAACATGAGGCCCCTGTCCCCATTAACGAGGTTCGGGTCACGCTATGAGCCCAGGGGTGAGGGCTGTTGGGACCCAGATGTCAGAACACTCATTTCACGCAGTAGTTCATGCACTGCTTTTTTTTGTACCAGGGATCGAACTCGGGTCCTTGTGCTTGTGGGGCAGCCAGCAGAACCACTGAGCTAAATCCCCGGCCCACGCACTGCTAACTGGATACCCCAGATGCCAGTTTTCTCCTGTTACCTGGGCCTACAAAAAGATACTTTCTTTTGGGGTGGGCAGTGCTGGAGATTCCCGCCTCCTGAAGTCCATCCCCAGCCTTTTAAAATCTTGAAACCAGGATCTGACTAAGTTTTTTTTTTTTCTGTTTTGCTAAGTTAAATTGCCCAGGCTGGGCTCTAACCCACGGTCCTCCTGTATCAGCCTCCTAGAGTGCTGGGATTACAGGTGCACACCACTCACTGTCCCTGGTTTAAACGATACTTCCTGCGTACAGACACTTCCTGGAGGAGCTGGGCTCCAGCCACATTATAGAGGACCGTACACTAGTACACTGACTTTTATACCGTGACACGGGTTTTACACTAAGATAGGGCTTTCATCAAATCGCTCACATCTCACTGATTAAATCCATCACATCCCTCTTGACTGATGTGATAAAATCTAGAGGCTCGAGGACAGCTGTCCCTCAGAGCCTGGGGACTGGTTCCAGACCCGTCCCTGTACCGACGCTTGCTCGTGTGTGCACACATTCCACATGTGCCCTGCCTGAGTGCACCATGCCCCGTCACCTGTTGTACGGCCACATGGCTTTGGAGGGGTTCTGCCCGGGCCGGCTGAACCCCCGGGTGTGGGGTGCGCAATGGAGAGTCCACCCTGCCGAGGAGTCTGACCCTGCGCTTATGACTGCAGCACCGCTGAGGAGCAGCACAGGGGCACCTGGGCCCGCAGGAAGGCTCAGAAACCTCATGGGAAGAAACTTCTGCTCTTCACGCCACTGTGCCAAGAAGTACACTGGTGATTCTTTCCATTCCATTATTCATTTGGGTTTTTGAGACTGGGTCTTGCTGTGCCCCAGGCTGGCCTCGAACTCATGATCCCCCTGCCTCAGTCCCCAGTGAGGCCTGGGAGGGAGATGGAGGTGCCGGCATGGAGGGGCTGGGGCTCCAGACGAAGCAGCTGTTTCATCCCCACTCTGAGAAGGCACGGTCCAGGGGACCCACTTCTAGGGTGACCCCCGAGGTCGGAATTTAAAAGGCAGGCAGCCGGATCCGAGATGCTGTGGTGGGCCTGCTGATCCCCGCTCCAGGTCAGCAAGCCTCCTCACCCCCCCAGCCCAGGCTGGGCCTGACTTGCACTGACCGAAGGACAGGGTGGGAGAAGGGAGAGTTCACAGGTCGAGGCCTGGGCCTCAAGGGGCCTGCACTCTGCCCCCTCCTGGAACCGTAACTATACAGGAAAGCTGCGCTGCCTCAGCCTACAGCAGTGGCAACATCTACCAGTCTGCTCATGCTGACAGCGTGTCCTGGTGTTAAGCCACTAGGTTTGTTTCTTTCTGTTCTGAGACAGGGTCCTGTTCAGTCGCTAACCCAGGCTGGCCTAGAACTCAGTACCCTCCTGCCTCAGCCTCCCGAGTGCTGGGATTACTGGTATGTGCCACCATGCCAGACTAAGCCACTGTACTGAGGTGGCTTGTGACACGTCAGTAGCTGAGAGGCAAGATGGTTACCTAACACCAGGTTAAAAAGCTCAGAACCAAAAAAGGCCATGATCTGAGGTGCAGTACCCAACCATGTCAGGCAGTCAGAAAGAACTGGCCGTCTACACCAGCCCACCGCTGAGCACCCTGGGGCTCTGGCCCGGCGGCAGCACCCGACTGGGGGTGAGGCTGCCTACTCAGGAGCACTGTCTGCAGGGAGGGGCGGCAGCCTGTGCCAGGCTCGGGCTCCACAGAGGCCAGGCCAGGCTGCTCTGGTCAGTTGCGTCCTGGGACGGGCACTAAAAAGTGTTGAGAGAATCAGAAGCCATCTGTGAACGTGGCCTGCTATGCTACGATCCACCAAGTGACTCCCATGTGCTTGTACTTGGTGTGAAGTCAGGAAACGCCGCTGCTCATGCGACGCAGACAGGTGCCTGGGTCTCAGCGCCCACAGCCTGGTCAGGGGAGGCTGGAGGCTTGGAGCTGGGCTTGGAGCTGTTGGGTTCTGAGGTACAGAGTCTGAGACTTGGGACTCCCTGTGTCTTCTAGGCTCTAGTCCCTGTTGGTTACTCATTTCCTTCTCTCCTAATATTCCAAGGAAGCCAAGACTCATTTATTCTGAATTAAGCTTGAAGTTAATTAAGTTTAATTCACAGTTTTCCCAAACCAATGTAGAAATTTAGATTCTCCTGAGATGAGTTAACAAAATTTTTAAAAGTCATTAGGTACAAAAATACACAGCAAAAACTAATGGAAAAATGGAGAAAGAGCCAAAAGTAAAGCCACAGGAGTGAATTTAAAACTGCATTGTGAAGGCCGGGGGATTTAGCTCAGTGGTCCTGCCGCCTGTCTCGTAAGCACAAGGTCCTGAGTTCGATTCCCCGGTACCAGAAAAACCTGCATTGCCTTAGTCTTAACAGGGTAAACACTTTGTGGACAAAAGCATTAAAAACTAGTTTGGACAGCAATAAAAGTATTTTTCCTTTGTGAAAATGAAGACCGTTGCCGTTTAGCCATAAACTTGAAATACCTATTCTATAACACAGTCGTTCACTTTCTTAGTGAAAGAATTCTAAGGGACAGCACCAACAAAGTTCCTGACACTGAAGCCTCATGCTTTTTTCTGCATAACATGTAGTTAAAAATATTTATCATCTTTTAACTGGTTCTATAGTTATTTTCTGTATTGAACAAAACCACTTACCACAGAACACCATACAGAACGGTAAGACTGGATAGATAAACCTGAATTCTTTGTGGCCCAACATGCTATAATAATAAAAAATTTAAGAGAAAACATTTTATCACATCACATGGTCATTTGATAAATGAATCTATTTAGAATAATGAAACATCAACAATCCCTTTGTAACCATGGAAGTCACCCCCTGCTCAGTTACAGGGTGCCCGGCAGCACCACGCAGGCACCTCACGGCTCGGGGGTCGGGGCTCGGGGCGGGTCGGCAGGCCGGGAGGCCCAGGCTGGCTGGCAGGCGGTGCGGAGCCAGCGACACAAGCTCTTGCTCACCGCGAGTGCGGACTCAGGGTCTAGGCCTGACTGCACGAAGGACAGCTGCGGTCTCAAGACTGCTACTGCCAGGCCAGTTAAACAGCACCCAAATTTGGAATAAGGGCGCATATTTATCTCAAAATAGTCTTTCTCTGGCCCTCGAGCCTTAAAGTGTTCAGTTTCTATCTCTAGAGCAGGATGGCAGACTCTCAGGGCTTCCGGTGATAAGAGTTGGCTTCGGTGAGCGTGCCGAAGGTTCGCCGCCCCCCCCCCCACCCCCCGCTCTGGAGCAGACAGCTTGTCCACTTGTTAGAAACGCAGCGTAACCCTTGTCGCTGAGCCCACCGGTCACTGCTGCTCGCAAAGCACGGCAGTGAGGGCCTCGGTTCTATTGTCCGAGCCTCGCGAGCATGCGGCCCAGACCCGTGCCCGCCAGGCGAGTGCTTTTAAACTGAGCTCACCCGGGCGGCTTCGCCCTATGGGTCCTTCCGCGCGCTTGCCCTGGACCACTCTGAACACGGACCGCACGAGCACGCACTCCTACCTGTACACCGACAGCGTCCACAGCACGGGCACCAGCAGTGCCCTGCAGCGCCCTGGGGCTCGCACACAGCCGTGGAGGAAGAAGGGCAGGTGGGGGCCCAGGACGGCCGGGAGCCCCTGGCCCAGGTACCAGTGCCACGGGTGGGAGCCGTAGAAGCTGCCCGAGCCCTGCAGCACGTTGAACCTCAGGAAATTGAGCTGCACCAGCATCCACTGTCGGTGCGAGAAGAAGCAGACACGTCAGAGTGGGGACCCGTCTGTGGCTCCGAAGCCTGAAGTCACATCAGCGGGGACCAAGACAAGGCCGTGTTTCCACCTGTGACTCTACTGCCACGTGAAATCACTCGCTTTTCTTCCAGTTACTGACACACTCATAATCTGAAACACTAGACCTGAGATTTCTGTTTGTTTTTGGTACTGGGGATCGAACTTGGGACCTCGCGCTTGCAAGGCAGGTGGCAGAACCACTGAGCTACATTCCCGGCCCATAGACCTCAGATTTAAGATGAACCTCAGAAATCACGAGTGAATGTGCACACACTGCATGTAGGCTTTCTGTCTAAGTGGAGAAGGCCCAACGGTGCCCTGTGCTGGAGGCCCTGAGCTCACATCTCAGTTCTGCTCCTGCCCCGAGGGGAGACAGCAGCAGGGCTCCCTGAGCCGGACACCAGGCAAGCCCTTCACAGGTGCTACCTCCTTTCCTCTTCCAATGGAGCCATGGCAGGAAGGGGCCAAAACTCCTGCCAGATCACACAGCTATGGAGAGAACTAGGCTCCAAACCATGCAGAGCCCTGGGAGGGAAAAGAGAATTTAAAACACCCAGGCAAGGCATGGTGGTGCAGCCTACAATCCCAGCACTTTGGGAGGCTGAGGCAGGAGGAGTGAAGGTTCCAGCCCAGCCTGGGCAACTCAGTGCCTGAGACCCAGTGGCACAGAAAGGTCGTGGGGTGGGGTGGGGTGGGCAGACTAGCAAGGCTGTGGCGGGAAGGCCGAGTTTGATCCCTGGCACCACGAAAAGGGAAAAACGGGGAGGGTGTTAACTTGCACTTAGGAGACGAAAATCTCAAACTATGTGACTGAAGAACAGAAGACTTCAGTTACGTGATGAGTGGATGACTGAGGGTCTGACAAAGTTGCTAGGAAATTTCACTGTCTGCTGCCAACCTGAGACATAGGCGGGGCCCTGCCGCAAACTGGCTCTTCTGAAACTACAGCAAGCCGAGCCAGAGCATGCAGCAAACCTTTCCCAACAGATCCCGTGTCATTCGGGGATCAAACTCAGGACCTTGCGCTTGCGAGGCAGGCATGGTGCCGCTGAGCTAAACCCCAGCCCTCCCATATCATTCTTTAAAAGGGCTTTTCTGAAATACTAATGGATTAAAAATCCACTTATCAGTGCAATTAATGATTAAAACAAAAATTGCTGCTAGTTTCTTATCTTTTTACTTACTTGGCCAAAAAAAATACGATCAATTACCAGAGACAGACTCAGAGCTACAAACCTGGAAAACAAAACAGAACAATGATTCAGTCTGAAGGGGCCGGGAGGGTCCCAGGCGCCCCTAACCACAAGCCGCTGTGGAAACGCTTTACAGCTCACCAGCAGGACACAGACTGCTGCGGCATTTTGAAAGCTCTCTCTGAGCTGTATGAAGCAAACTTCCTAAACAAGCACGTTGACTGTGGCCACACAGCAAGCTGGCCCAGTCTTGGCACTAAGGTGTGAGCCTGGCTCCCAGGGTGGCTGGCCCTTCTGCCTGTCCTCACTTGCGGCCCGGCACCGAGCAGAGGCCTGGACTCTGGGCTTCACAGGGCTGCAGTCGCAGCACAGGCTGCTCCTTTCCGTCCTGGGTGTCCACCACAAGGCGTGACCCCTGTACCACACGGTTCTCCAGCTGGTGGACACAGCACTTCCCATTTTCGGCAGTCACACTGTTGCTGCACAAATTCTTCTACAAATCTCCCGGTGCCCATACATAGATTTCTGCTGGGCGCACACCAGGACTGAACTGCCGGTCGAAGCCCTCAGCCTCTCCAGATGCACAGGCTTCCCCAGTGCCAGTTCACGTCCCGGTAGGGACACACACGGCGCTGCGTGATTCTCAGCGGCTCGGGTGTATGTACAGGAGGAGAATGTCATGGTGGCCATGTTTTGTTTTGACACAGGCTGGCCTCAAACTTGGGGCGATCCTCCTGCCTCAGCCTCCGGAGTGCTGGGAATATAGGCGTGGGCCGCCACACCTGGCTGTGTTTCTGTTTGAGACAGGGTCGCATGTGTCACCCAGGCTGTTCCCCAAGTTCATGATCCTCCTGCTTCTGCCTCCCTTGTGCTGGGATTCCTGGCTCAGCTGTACCTTGGGGGTCCCGAGTAGCTTTGCCCCCACTGGCCGTCCACATGGTTTGTGAAGTACTTGTTGAGGTCTTTCGATCAGTTTGCTATTGTGCTGTCTTTTCTTATAGATGTGTACAAGTTTTGAATCTAATCTGAATATGAGCTTTGGGTTGATTGTGTATCTTGCAAATGTGGCTTGCTTTTTCACTCACTCAACAGTGAATCTGATCAACAACGGTTCGGTGCTTTGTTTGTGTTTTCTCTGCGAGGCATACGATGACTTGAGCAGCCAGCTGTCTCTGCGGTGCCATGATCCCCTGCAAAGCCCGCACTGCGTGCAGGCCCTCCCGCCGTCTCCTCCACCTCTGTGGCAATGCCCATTACTTGCAAACCCTGATTCCCTACAAGCACCTGAGCTCCTTTTGGCCACTTCAAAGTTTAGAATCAGCTCACAGTTCGCACGCACACGCGCACACCCAGGTGAAGGAGATCTGATCACACCACCCAGGCCACCGGGCACACTGCGTCCCTCTGCTTCAAGCCCTTGTTCATCCTCCCTGCTCCCCTCCCAAGAGTCTCCCGTTTCTTGAAGCCACTGCGAACGGTTTTTATTCCTCCAGCTCTCACTGTAGATTATAAAGTTATTTTCTAGATTCCCCTAATGTGCAGTATAAAGTGAGAATCATGCAGTTTGTGCGTTGTTTTCCTGTAAGTAACTGAAGAGTTTCCTCTGTATTTATTTATTTGAGACAGTCGCACTGTGCAGTGCAGGCTGGCCTTGAACTCACTCTGTAGCCCAGGCTGGCCTTGGCTCTGGGCGATCCTCCTGCCTCAGCCTCCCAGTGCCCAGATGACAGGCGTGCGCCTCGTGCCCAGCTCCTGTGTTGGAGACACTACTGCAGTCTGGACGTGCAGCTGGGTATCTGTCAAGGGTGTGGACCCCAGAAAGACTGCGGCACAGCTCAGGCCTGGCACAGCGCTGGGCACTGAGGATCGGCACGTGGCACTGAGGAGGGCCGGACCCTGCTGCGCTCCGCAGCCTCGCACACGTGCCCGCGCCACCTGCTCTCTCCTGTGCTTCTGCAGCCTCTGCAGAGGCAAATCTGAGCCTGGAAACCACTCATCCTGGTGCATCTGGGCTGCGCTCCAGCACTGCACAGCTCTGTCTGCTCTGCTGGCAGCCCAGGCAGCCCAGAGTCAGGGGCTGGGGCCACTGTGTCCCCCAGAAGAGACCACCGCATGAAGCAGTGTTTGGATGCACCCGCTCTCAAGCCTCCCTCCACAGCTCGGTGGCTGAGCCCCAGCGCTCCGGCCACCGTTCCTTCCTGGAGGGCAGGAGGGCAGGCAGGAGACTCCCTTGGCCTTGTTTCCCACACTTCCTGTTTGCTCTGCTACTGAACAGGCACAGGCAGGGCTAGCACCCCAGAACCTGGGTCAGGAGCACCTACGTGCAGACCTGTTACCAAGTCCTGGGCAATGTAAAAGACAAAGTGTCTCTAAATGTACTTGTGAAATATTTAGGAAATAAGGCACGGGGAAATTCTAACCAGAAATAACTGAAGACTTGGGGGCCGGGATGCAGCTCAGCGGCACTGAGTCTGCCTCGCAAGTGCAAGGTCCTGAGTTTGATCCCTGGTACCAAAAAAAGAAAAGAACTGAAGACTCATTTAAATAAATTAAAATATAATCAGTATCACAGATATAAAAATATACATTCAGAAATGCTCTATTTCCTTGGATTGAGAATTCTCAACGACATGAGAAGACACAACAATTACGAAGGGAAGCTGGGTGGGGCGCACACCTGAGCTGCCAGCACCCCGGGAGGCTGAGGCAGGGGAACAGAGCCCAAGCCCAGCCTGCACACTCAGCAACTTTGAGGCATCTCAAAAGGAAAAGCACACGGCTGGAGAGAGCTCAGGGTAAAGGTCCTTGGTTCCTAGAACCACTGAAAACAAAACACAGCCCCCACCCTTGGAAACACAGCCTTATTCACCCGCCACCTGCAGGTCCGCCACCCAGGGTTGGGTGCAGCCAGGCTTACCCGACAGGGAGAAAGCCACACAGAATGAGACGGCACTTGGCGGGCTCCTGCCACACGTGTCTGAGAAGCAGCGGGACCCATGGGATGATGGCCGTGGGGCGGACAAGGCAGGCCAGGGCCACCAGGGAGGTGTACTTCACACTGTTCAAAGGAAGGAGGGACAGCCATCTGGAAGTGACCTTAGCCACGCTGTAAGCTCCCTTTTCAAAAGTCAAATGACAGTGTCTTGCCAGGTCTGGTGGCACAGGCCTGTGCTCCCAGTTTTCTGGGAGGCTGAGGCAGGAGGATCATAAGTTCAAGGCCAGCCCAGGCAGCTTAGTGAGACCCTCTGTCAACATGAAAGTTTAAAAAGGCCTGGGGATGTGGCCAGTGGTGGAACTACATCCCAGCACATGCAAGGCGCTGGGTTTATCCCTAGTACTGCACAACAACAAAACAAAGAAGAAAAGAAAGCTGAAGGCATTTTCCCTTTAGCGTAAGTAGCTATATGGACTCAGGCAAGTGTCTTGGGTTATCTGGGTTTTAGTTTTTCTCATCTTTAAAAGGAGGTAATACGTGCGGCCTTTTCTAGCTGAAATACCCTAATCCTAGTACTTTCAAAGAAGTTATCCTGTGTCTTAATGGTGGTCTTATGAACTGAACAATGAACTAAGTCTTGACGTTACAACCCTACCAGTTCCCCCTCCCTCCCCGAGCCTCCGCCACTCCCCCTCTGTCTGTGCTGGGGACCGGACACTGTCTTGGACCCTGAGCTGCACCCCAGCCAGGGCACCAGCCTCAGTGGGACCCGCCGGATCCTCCCCACTGAGTGAGGCGCTGCTGGGCACAGCAGCAAGAACAGAGGGCTGCAAGCGGCCGAGTGCGCTGTGACGCAGGGCAGAGGCAGAGCCAGACTCCCGGCTATGGAGGCATGGAGGCACGGAGGCACGGAGGCACGGAGCCCTTGGCCGGCCTCCCACGGCTGCCTCTGTTCATGCCCGAGAACGTCATCACATGGGCAGCCGGAGCGAGGCTCACTGTGGCCACTGAGAGTCTGAGGCACAGGTGAGCGCGCTGAGTGGGAGAGGGCACACCGGGGCTCCCTGCGCCGGACACCACTCTTCAGTGCCCGCTGCCCCAGCCTTCTCATGTGAGTCACGGTCTTTCAAAGTTGCCCAGGCTCAGGCTCCTGCCTCAGCCTCTGAGAACCGTGGCTTACGGGTTGCGCCTGGCTAGCTGCAACCAGACTCCCACCCCCTGGCTTTCTCCCGTGCAGTGTATCCCAGCAGAACTTTTCTCTTTTGTGGTGCTGGGTTCAAACCTAGGGCTTCACATGTGCTTCTCCAGATCCTCGCGTCTCTGCTCCTGGGACTGGACCCTCCTCGGGAGTGGCACAGGCCCTTCCTGCCCCCTGGACAGGGCTCCCGTGGGCCTCTGCTTGGGGCCCTTTGCTGGGGCACACAGGGGTCTTCAGTTAGTCCTTCCCTCGCCTCTGGCTCCTTGCTCGGCCCGCCCTGAGTTCGGGCTATGGGGATGGGAGGACAGCGAGGCAGGGTTACCTCTCCAGGTCACCTCCCTGAGGCCTTGTTCACTGCGGCTCCCCAGGGAGCCAGGCTGCTCCCTCCGCCAGATGTCCCGCCAGGGCAGGAAGCAGCCCTGCGGTCTGCGTCTCTGTGAACGAACCTCCTACTAGGTTCTCCTTAGCTAGCAGCTCGGTGTTCTCTGCTTCCACTACAATGAAAACTGACCACCAGCAGGCAGGCTCCTGCGTACTACGGTAGGATGTAGCTCTGAGCTTCCACACAACTGTTACCGTAATCAGCTCACCTGTTCACGGCCTTGGAGCCTTCCAGAGGGTAGTAGGAAAGAGCAATCGTAGTAAGAACGGTCTCCATGGTGTTCGTGAGGGTTCGGGTACAGCAATACCATGTAAACCAAGAGCACAACTGGCAAAAGAACTGAGAAAAACCATGAGCATGGGAAAGCTTCCTGGATCCCCCATGGCCTGCGCCCTGCCAAAGCCACGCTAACCAGCAGCAAGGACTTCCGAGTGGGCGCACCCAACACTGCTGAGGGCCGAGGCAAGCGTGGGTCAGTGGCAACTTCGGTCAGGGGCGTTCTCCCGGCGCTGCATTTGGCTGCAGCCCCACTTCCCATTCATGAAAGGCAGATTCTTTGCTGGCGTCTTTCTGCAGGACCGAAATTTGTAACTAGATTCTCCCCATCGGTATTCTTCAAGCTGCCTTAAAAACAAGTGTTTTGAGGGTTGGGGATTTAGCTCAGTGGTTTTGCTGCCTGCTGCGCAAGCGCAAGGACTCGAGTTCGATCCCCAGTACCAAAAAAACCAAAAAAAACAAGTGTTTTGACTTTTGTATTGGCCTTGGTTTGATATGCTGCCCTATTTCTTAATTGAAAATTAAGACAAACGCAACAGAAATTTTGAGAAGGCATTATTAAATTTTAACTTGAAAACTGACTAAATTAATAAACCAGATTTTGGAAGAGCATACAATTAAAAGCATCAGTAAAAATGTACTTAAACCTGTTAGATGAGACATGGAAGTTAAACACTTCATACTGTCTCTTCAAATGTGCCTTAAAATATTCTAATTTTCATGAAGTTAAAAGTATTTCCTAAACCAGAAAAACCTCATGCTGCCAGCTGGCGGAAGACTTCAAAGGCTATGACCTTTGCCTGTCATTTTATGTTGGGTCTTCAGTTTTTCTATTTTTTTTTTTTTGGTACCGGGGATTGAACTCGGGTCCTTCAGCTTGCGCAGCAGGCAGTTAAACCACTGGGCTAAATCCCCGGCCTCGAGTCTTCAGTTTTTTGTGTTTTTTTGGTACCAGGGATTGAACTCAGGACCTTGCGCTTGTGAGGCAGGTGCCGGAACCACTGAGCTACATCCCCAGGCCAAGTCTTCATCTTTGAACATAAAATCTAAGCACAAAATAAAGAGGCTGACACTATACATGAATCAGGCAATAACCCATAAACCAACTCTTTTTCTTCTTTAAATGTAAAGAATGCCTTGTTTGTAGAACTATGTCTTTTGTCCAATTTACTAATAAACTATATTCCAGAAATGTGCGGTAACTACATTACCTGGAATTCGGAGTGTATTTTCCAATACAAACAATATTAAACACATGGAAAGATTTCTAGTTTGGGGGCCAGATATTTAGCTCAGTGGCATTGCATCTGCCTCACAAGCGCAAGGTCCTGGGTTCGATCCCCAGTACCAAAAAAAAAAAGATTTCTAATTTGGGGAAGAGCCATGTGCACTAACAACAGTCCCATGTTTTGGATCTGAACAGGAGATCTGGGGAGCCCATGTCCCTACCTGGAAATAGGGCCAGGGACAAAGCCTGCCTCTTCCTGTGCCTCCCATTTTCCCAGACCTGGCCAGGTAGAGGACCTCGCTGCACCCTGAGGCTGCAGGGGCAGGTGCCATGAGGTGGGTGGGAATTGAAGTGCCCTGCTGAGTGCCGGGCACGGGTCGGACCTGATCACACAGGGCAGGCTCCCCAGGCCGCATCCTCGGGCACAGCTGCCATCTGCCATTGGACCTGGCTCCCCCTCCCGGCACGCACGCCTCACACTCCCAGCACCAGGTCCCACCAGGTCCCACCAGGTCCCCAGAGAAGAGTCAGGGAGGCGCTGTCAACCACAGGAAGGGATCCCTGGCCAGAGCTGCTGGGTGCCCGGACTCACCACCCATCCGGCCACCTCCTGGGTCTCCAGCCGCTTTGTCAGTGAGTAAAGTTTCACGTCCGCTACGGCCGACAGCAGAGCCTGGGCCAGTCTGGGCGTCCAGACCTGCACCAGGGAGCAAGAAGAGGAAGGGGCGGCTCTGGGCTGGTGCCGCTGCCCCAGCTGCAATGGAGGGCCAGTCCTGGCCGGTCATGCGTCCACAGATAGCTGCTGCCCACAGTCAACACCAGCTTCTCCCGGACGCACCAGAGGTGGCTTGCCACTCATTTCGCTTCCACACACACACACACACACACACTCATTGACACTTGTTCTTCTGCAGCGTGGGGCATTGAGCCCAGCCCCAGCCCCAGCCCTTTTGTATTTTTTATTTTGAGACAGGGTATTGCTAGGTCACTAGGTTGCCCAGGCTGGGCTCAAACTTGGGACCCCCCTGCCTCAGCCTCCCACAGTGCGTATTATAGGTGTGGGCCACCATGCCTGCAAAACTATTTTAACTGAAATATCCAACAAGCCACTTTGTTGTGTTAATATTCTATTTTAAAAGTATATTTGTTTTTGAAGCCGGGCATGGTAGCGCATACCTGTAACCTCAGCTACTCAGGGGGTTGAGGCAGGAGGGTAGGTAGCCAGTTCCAGTCCATCCCAGGCAATTCAGCAAGTCTGTCTCAAAATAAAATAGAAAGCGCTGGCGATGTAGCTCAGTGGAATAGCACTGGCCCAGCATGCATTAAGGCCCTGGGCTTACCCCTCGGTACCACCAAAAAATAAAAAGTACTTATTTTATGAGCATATACCACTGATCTTTTAAAATCAGCCTGTGTGCTTGGTGCTGCGCTAAGTGCTTTGTCCTCCTCAGCTCCCTCAGTCCTGATGCTCTGGGGCAGGTTGTTGCCCCTTAGGTGCATGGGGGTTCGGCCCAGAGAGTGGAAGTCACTTTCCCACAGCTGCAGAGGGCCAAGGTCAGAGCCTGCACGGCCACCTGCGGCTCCGATACCTCGGGCTGTCTGGGAGGCCCAGCCTCGCCTGTGTCAGCCACTCGGCTGTGCTGTCCCCGTCCTGCCACAGCGATGGTGGAACCGGAACTCACACGTGCTCTGAGTCCTGGTTTTCAGACAACACTGAAGAATAAACATGGAGAACGGCTCAGAGGCAGAGCAGCTGCCTCGCACGCGTGAGATGCTGGGTTCCATCCATAGCCTAAGGCAAAACAGCAAAAAAAGCCAAACAAACTAAAGAACAAAAGTCTTACAACCAATTAGCACGAGCATCTCAGAGCTAAAAGATGTACCACGGTTATCACTGGTGTGGTACAATTAGATCTTCCTTGTTCAAGATGCTGCTAAGAGCTCCCACATGACCCTGTCTCTGCTGAACGGACCTGACTACTAATTCCACACCGCAAGCTGCTCCATTCCAGCTGTCGCAGCTCCTGAGGCGGAGGAGCTTTCCAGGCCACATCTGCAGACACAGACAGCCCGTCCCCGCTGCCTCAGCTGCGCCTCCAGCAAGGCTGCCAGGCCCTGCCTCAGCTTCTGGTGGAGCCCTGGGAAAGGCAGCAGGGTGTCCAGGTGCATTCGGCCGAGGGCATCTGGAGGACCTGTCTGCGACTGAGGTGACTGTGGAGGGCGGGGTGGGGAGGGGTGGAGAAAGCGTGCTTGAGGCCTGGGGGGCTGGGGGCCAGAGCCCGGGACCCCACCACTGTCTCCTCCAGCCAGCACTGGCCTCAGCCGGCCCCTGCACAGAAAACCGCAGAACTGTGAGCCGGGACAGCCTTCACCTGTGTTACAGCAAGGGAAAGCTAACTAACAGTTATTACACACGGATCTTGGACAGGAAAACAGATCTCTGACTAAACAGAAAAATCTGTGACGTTCTGAATTCCTATTCATTGACAATCTCTGCAGACCTCTCAGTGTGGCTTTTTAGGTTGCAGGAAGGGCCTGACCAGAGATAAATAAAGCTGCATGAAGCTTCAGGACAGGAAACAGCCCTAGAGGTGGTGAGAGGAGCACAGGGCTCTGCCTGAGTGCAGGGCTGGTGCTCTGCTCACCAGCAGAGACCCTGCCTTGTCCCTGACAGCCCTGCCTCCTGGCAGGGGCGTCCGGAGCCCCCGCCGGCTGACAGCAATGACAAGAGCCGTGTGTCGACTTCAAATTTTAGAGTAGTCAAAAGAAACGAATTCATATAGCTTAATGCTGCATATCTGGTATTAACATTTCAGCATTTGAGTCGATATAAAAACAGAAGCATGTTACTTTTTCGGTACTCGGCCTTTGACATTGGTGTTCATGTGCCTGGATAAGCCTCATTTCAGGCATCCAGCAGGTACCCGTGGGTGGTCACTACCACACTGGAAAGGGCAGTGCGAGGCCCTCCCAGCTCCATGCACATCTCATGCCATACATGTGTACAGAGTGTGTGTATGTTTTGTTTCTGCTTTTTAAGACACAGCCTGGCTATGTAGTCCAGGCTGGCCTTCAACTCACTATGTTATCCTGGCTAGGATCAGATTTGCAATTCTCTTGCCTCAGCCTCCTGAGTACTGGGATCACACACATATATGCGCCACCACTCCTGGATTCTCATGAAGTTTAAAAAGAAGCTATAGGAAGCTGGGTGTGGTGGTGCACGCCTGTAATTCCATTACTCAGAAAGCTGAGGCAGGAGGATCACTGCGAGTTTGAGGCCAGCCTGGGCTACACAGTGAGCTCAGGGCCAGCCTGAACTGCATAGTGAGACGCTGTCTCAAGAAAAACAAGAAACAAAATGGAAACAAAGTTTTTCTACATAACGAGGGGAAGGGGCTTGAGGAGGAGAATGGGATAAAATAAAATTTATTAAAATTTTTTAAAATCCCCCCAAAAAGCTACGAGGACAGAACACAAGGCTATGAGCAAGACAACCTAAGCAGTTAACTAGCTCTACTTTTAATCCACTGTGATCTTGGCCTGTTCACTTCTGAGCCTTTCTAGCCTCAAAGTTAATTAATCTGCATTTGAAATAATCAATGAGATTAGCTTATGCCCTCCTAATGAATTTCTACTGGGGGGTCCCCCGTACTCAATCACAGAGAGGGTCATTAGCTTGCCAGAAGGAAGGCTCGAGCAGCGGCTGGGTCTGGTGCTGGGCCCTCACAGTCTAATCCATGTCTGGAACAGGAGACGTCCTAGCTGACGTTATGCATATGGCCTGTGGTTTCAGGCTCTGCACAACCTGCAGCCAGAGGTCAACTGAGGAACGAGCTCACTGCTTCCCAGGTCCACCTGTGGGGAGAGAAACTCGCTCCCCTCTGAGTCCTTCGTCCTCCTGCCTGCCCCAGGGAAGCCTCAGTTCACCTGTCTGGTCCTTGCTGCTCGGTCATCAATGCGGAGGGGAAGGGAAAACCCTGTTTCAGAACACTTCGGCCCCTCCTGGGCTCTCTGGATCCCCAGCCGTGGGCCCTGCCCACCTGAAAATTGGGAACCCTGCTTCCAAGCCCAACTCCCGGCGGCGCCCACAGTCTGGAGGCCAGAGACGCCTTTGTACTGCCCGGTCCCTGTGTCCTCTCCTACCGCAGAATCTACACAGCCCTACCCGCTGCTCAGGTCCAGTTACAACACAGCACAACGATTACTTCTGTCACCTCGTTTTTGTCACCTTTTACTAAGGTTTAATTTCAACACTAACTCCTGAGTAGGCTCGTGTATATTCAGTCTTCGTAAAGTTGTACAACATGGTCTTCCACGCACAAGTTAAAAAGCACAAACATACACTGCTCTCGCGGTTGTTCGCGAGGACCGGGTCCTCTAAGGTCCCAATGAGGAGCGCAGAAGCAGCCCAGCCGTCTGCGGAGCCGCGGGGAGGCCGGGAGCCTCTCGGGAGCGAGCTTGGGGGAGCTTCCCGCGTGCGGCGCCCCCTCCGCCGGGCTCCGCCGCCTTCCGGACTCTCCGGAGACTTACCAGCAGCTGCACACTGTCCTTCCCCAGAAGATGCAGAACCTTGTAAATGCTCGCGAAGATCAGGGGGTAGGTGTAGCCCCTCAGTCCCTGCGTCCACTCCCAGGTCAGGTGCCCATAAGTAGCACGTTAAGGGTTACACAGCCGGCAGCGCGCGTCCTAGCCCGCACCCGCCCGCCCGCACCCGCTCTTAGCAGGGCCGGCCGACAGCCTCCGGCGGCCGACAGGAAAGGATATCCGAAGACCAGGCGGTGCGCAACCTCCAGGCTCTGCCAGTGCTCGTCAGGCACGAAGCTCGTGCGCACCAGGCCGAGGTTGAGCACGCGCAGGGCGACGGCCAGCGCGGCCAGGCGGGCGCCCGTGCCGAGGGGGCCTGGGGCGACAGGGCGCTCGATCGGGCTCCCGCGCACCCGAGTGGGCCCCGCCGCCGCCCGCACCCGCCCGCACCCCGTCTCCATGGAGACGCCTGGTCGCCCCAGTCGCCGGTCGGAACCACCCCGCAGCACGCGCTCACCCGCGCGGGGCCTGGAGCGCCGCTCCTGCGCACCCAGCCCCGACTCTCCCGTCTGCAGCCTCCCCTGCTCCCCGGAGCGGACGTGCGCGCCTCGGAAAGCGAGGCCCCCGGCGACGCTTTGGGGCTCCATCCCCGCTCGGGCTGCGGCCGCTGGCCGCACCGCCTCCGCGAGGTTTGGCCCTCGCGGGCTGCTGTCACCTGCGGCGCGGGGGCTGCCGGGAGGGGCGGAGCCGCAGCTGGGCGCCTGCGCAGTCCCCCCGTGGAGTGGCGGCGCCTGTCGAGGTCGGGGCCGACGCGGCGCTCCTCGGCTGTGGGCAGGAGGCCAGTGCAACTCGCGCGTGTGCAACGTAGGTCCACGTGCGTTTCCTCACGCGGCCCTAGGGGCGAGCCCGCGGCCTGAGCGCGAAGCCGCTGCCAGTCCTTTAAACCTTTTATTTTGACACTGAGTCTGACTCAGTGTCCCGGTTGGCCCTGTTTGCATCACCTGCCTCGGCCGCCACGTAGCTGAGGTTACAGGCGTGTACCGCGGGGCTCCATTATAATTTTGATAATGAATAGCAGATGATTTATGTTTGATGCCTACTTTCGAAATCAAAGGGAGCTTATTAAATATTTTCGTCTCTTTTTTGTGATACTGGGCACTGGGCCCAGGGTTTTTGCACTGAGCTGCGTCTTCAGCCTTTTATTTAATTTTTTGTTTTGAGACAGGGCCTCGCTAAATCCTTAAGTTTCTCTGGTTGGGCTCTAACTTGCTGTTCTCCAGCCCCAGTCCCTCAGTGCACGGATCGCAGGTCTGTGCCACCACTTCGGCCATATTTTAGCCTCTAAAAATTAACTTTGCCATACGTATTGCTAAAAGACACGAATAGCACAGGACTAATGAAGAGGGATGATCCTTTGAGTTTCTCTTACAGTTTTCTCAGGAGCCATCACTGGCACCTTTTCTTTTAGTGTTGTTTCATAGCTGACGTAAAGGCATGAGGTTTGCCCTTTTGAAACCAGGAACAAGCTTCTGTAATAGGAGAGGGTGTGGCTTGGTTTACATCATGCCTTGGCCTTATTTCCCATACTTTAGTCTCTTTTTAGTAAGCGATACTCATATATTATTACAAAAATGCTGTTCCCTCCAGAGCAAAGTAGCACGTGCAGCTTGTAAAGGGTCCTCTAAGTCCTCTGCCTCCCATCTGCTTTGCACACAGATCTGAAGAGATTTGCTGGATGTGAAAAATAACTTTCTCAAACCACCTTGGTGTTGTGCTGTGTTTGTTGGGACGATGTTTGGGAGATTGAGTCTTCCGCAGCTGCTTTTTGCTGGCATTGTGGGAATTGCTGGAGGAATATATATTTATCAACCAATATTTGAACAATATTCCAAAGATCAAAAGACGTTAAAAAAGAAGGTGGAATTAACAGAAGAATCAAAAGAGAAGAGAAGTTAATGCTACATGGAGTTGAATTGTAATAACTGTATAAAGTTCGATTGGACTTAACATTCACAATAAGGAACCTAGTAAAAACTTAGATATGTATTTTAAATATAAATAAATCATATATAATGATTGTGGACGATTTTTAAAAGTAGTACTGTCACTTTTAATGTTTACCATACTTTTATTTACCATTTTTTGTCTTTTCATCAGGACACAGCAGTTTTTCAAACTAAAATGAATGTTCTAAGGACAACGTATAGATTGATTTTTTTTTTTTGTACTGGGGATCAAACTTGGGTCCTTGTGCTTTCGAGGCAGGCAGTGGAACCACTGAGCTAAACCTCCGGCCCTAGATTGATTTAATCAGCACCATTAACAATTTAGTGTGAGGTTTGAATTTTTTTCACATATTTAAAATAGTTATGAAAAGTTTGGTTCAAGTATGAAGCACTGTGGGACAGGTTTGGCTTCGTTTAGCTGTGGGTGGCTGGGGTTCTCTTCTGCTATTTGTGCAGGAGCAGCTCCATCCATCTCTGACACCACAGGAGAGAAAGGGAGTCTTAAGAGGAAATGTGCAGTCGAAGCTTCAGCTCAGTGGCAAATGTCGCATCCTTCCAGGTTTTGTTTTGTAGAACCTGTCGCATGGCAAGAAAAGCAAGGACAGGACTTTTCCTGGGAGGCACAGTGAGGTCAATGGCTGCTATTCATCCTTGGAGAGGAAGGCTGGGTTCAGCAGTCACCTACTGGGTGCAGAGGCTGACACCCCCCATGTTGCATCTGTTAGATCAGGGCTACACGGACGGGTGCAGCTCGGGGTGCAGTGTGTGCTGGCAGACATAAGGCCTTGTCCAGCTCCCAGCACAAAAGTACCCACAGAGAGATACCACTTTTATTCACTAGATGACTACAACAAAAAAGAAAGTAGTGACTGTACATAGCAGCGCACACCTTTCGTCCTTGCCAGAGACCCTGCAGTAGGTTCCAGTCCCCACCTGCCCAGTGTACTATGCAGGCCTGAGGAAAAAATACACTGAGAGAACTAAGAGAGGGAAAGCGGAGGCCTGGACGCCCAATGCCAGTGCAACCAACAAAGGCTCTGGCCAGTCCTGGGGGCTGACTTTTATTGGCAATCAATTGGGGTAAAGGTGAGCTATGTGCAGTTTCTATGGAAATTAATTTAAACAAGGCTCGTAAAAGACAGCATTCTGGAAATAGGAACACAATAGATGAAATACATGGTTGCAATTAGAACACTCCTAGTCAGGAGGTTTTAGTTGTGGGAACAGAATTTGGGTGCGAGTTACTCTGACCTCGGCATGCAGCCTTTGGCCAGACTCACTTCTGTAAACAGTCCAACTGTGGGGATAACTTCACAGCCTGCTTTGGGTGTAATCAGTATTACAGTTCTCTGCTAATCCCAGCACTGGGGAGGCTGAGGCATAAGGGTCACGAGTCTGAGTGCAGTGTGAGCTGCATAGTTCGGGGCTGACCTAAACTAAACAGCAAGACCTGGTATCAAAAAAAGACAAAACAATAAGTGTTTATGACAGCGTGGAACAGTTGGAATCGTACACTGCTGCTGGAAATGTAGAATGGCACAGCCACTGAGCAGTTTGATGGTTCTCCAGATGGGTGAACAGCTGCCTTGGGACTCAGCTGCTTGCTGCCTCGGCGTGACCCAGAGGTGAGAAGGTGAGTTTATTCATGGGAGCCAGAAGTAGGAACGACCCCAGTGGCCAACAGCTAGGTAAATGTGCATCTGCAGAGGGCATGAAGCTGTCAAAACCTACGCTGTCCTAGCTGCAGCACGGGTAAACGCAGAGCACATGATGAAGGCAGCGAGCAGGTGCAGGTGAGTGGAGCAGTTGAGTGGCTGCGGGGAGTGAAAGAAGTGGAAAATGACCGCTGCTGCATGCGAGGTCTCCCTAGAAGGCACAGTGAGATTTGAGGTGATCGGAGCACAACTTTGTGAATCACTGAACCCCAAACTGCACTGTTAAGGGTGACCTTTGTGTGTGAGCTAAAAACGTTGCATCCGCAGTAGCAGCTGTGGTCAAGGTGCTCCATGTTTTCTGCTGTTACAGCAGTGCCCAGCCCTATCTCAAAACTGGCAAAGTGCGTGTGCAGTTTGCCCTTCGTTAGCGTCCACGTGCCGCCACGAGTCACTCGCATCCCGCCACCTGTCCCTGACCCTGACAAGGTCGTGTGTCGGTCACTGAGATCCTCCGCCTGTAGCCCAAGTCTGAGGCGAGCAGCAGTGTCTGGATTCCTGGTGCAGCTGCTCCTGACACCACCTCCAAGGAAATGCAGGCCCAGGGCGCTCAGCACCGCTCTGTGAGGAAGGCTCCACAGCCGCAGCCAATGCTGAGCTTGTAGAAAGCCACCCAGCCCGCCAAGCAGGTCCCATAGGCGTAACCAGCCACCTGCTGTCAGCCTCCTCCCTGGCCGCAGGACAAGCTGCCACTGTGCTCTGCTCCTCTCCCAGCCGCCCTCAGAGTGGGGGTTCCTCCTCCTCCTGTGGGCACCCTGGTCCCAGAGAAGGGCTTTGGGTCATCTGAGAGTGAGGGGCGGTTGGTGCTTCTGGTGGTGAAGAGAACTTGTGGATGGAGTCAAGCACTGGGCTCCAAACCTGTGAAGCAATTTAGGTTAGGAAGTTGGCACAGGACCTGATTTCCACTATAGAGACCAACCTCAGCCTTCTGTTCTGTTCACTAATTCTTAATTTTGTGTGTATGTTTAAATATACAAGTCAGGCAACATCCCCTGGGGGGCGGGGGAGCAGAATCCCTACCTGTGCTGCTTTAGAGCACAGTGCTGTGTCCCCCATCACCACAGATCTGGGTGGGGACACACGTGCACACCCCAGACAACACAGGAGCTGTATCCTGCTGTGACCACTGCCCTTTACAACACTTGTCCCTGTTGCATAGTGTCTTCTGCTGGCTACCACCAGATGTCTGCATCTTCCATACGAGGGCTCCTGTCACCATGTCCAAGAACAGCCTCATCAGCCCTTCCCTGGTAACACAGACAGGTCGTGGCTCCTGGCTCTTGCTGTGGATCCTTTCTATGCTCAAGAGCAGGAGGGCAAGTGGAGCAGCCACAGAGTCAAGGGGGGAAAGCCAAGGAAAGGTTTGCTTTCAGGTGCCAATGAGAGAGATGGCTGGACATCTGCGATTAAACAGATTTCTTATCACTCACTTTCCTCGTTGCTGGGACAAAATACCTAACACCCAGGGTTAAAGGAGGAAAGGTTGATTTGGCCCACAGCTTGTAGAAGTTTCAATTCATGGCCCGGTCCAATGCAGGGTGGCCTGGTGGAGGGGCATCGCAGGGGAGAAGTGGTTCATGGCAGGCAGAAGGCAGCAAAGCAATGAAGCAGCAAGTGACAAGCAGCCATCTTTCTGTCCCTTATATTCTATCCAGGGTGAGCCTTCCCATTATCCACACGCAGAACTATGCCCAACCAATCATGGACTAATTTAGTAACCATACACCCTTGATTCCAACATCACACATTCAAGATCCACCCACCTATGACCTCATGAGGCTTTGGTGGGGCATCTAGACACAAACCATAACGTTCCACCCCTGGCCCCTCAAAGACTCCTGCTCATCCCTTTATGCAGAAGGCATTAGTCCATCTCTAGGAGTTGCCAAAGCCTTGACAGTTTCAGCACTGCTGAAAAGTCCAAGTCCAAAGTCCTCTGAGCTTTAAGGCAAACTCTTAGCTGGGAGCCCCAGTACAAATAAGTTAAACATTTCTAACATTCAATGGCACAAGATAAACATTACCATTCCAAAAGGTGCAAATAGGGGAATACAAAGGAATGGGACCAAAGCAAGTCCAAAATCCAGCAAGCCAAACATTAATTCCTGTAGTTCCACTGTCCGAGGCAGTCTGTGGATGTGAACGCCAAAGGGCTTGGGTGGCTTGGCCCCTACAGCACTTCTGGTGCTTGGAGCTCCCATGGCCTCTGTCTTGGGCTGGCTCTGCCCACTTCTTGTACCTTTCCCCAGATGATCCATGTTCCTGGCTTCTCCAAACTTCGGGAGTCCCCACTGGAGATTTACACTGCTTCACACTCAGGGCTTCACATGCTGCCCCTCAGGGGCACACTGCCTGGCCTCTAGGCCTTCTGAAATCAGGGTGGAGCCTTCCTGACCTCACAACTCTTGCATTCTGCTTGGGCCTAAAACCAGCACCACGTGGATGATGCCAAGGTCTGCCATCAGCTGGAGCAGTAGCCAGGCTTCCTTCTCTCTAGGCTGTTGGGGTCAAGTGCCTGAATTGCTGAGCACTCTAAACCCAACCCTGTGGAACAACTTCTCTAGGCTGCTGCCATTCTGGAACATAGTGCTCTGGGGCTCTCTTCTCAAAGCAAAGTCTTTTTCACCTTTGCAACTTGGAGGCTGCAAAGGCTGGAGGCCTCCATTTCTTATGATGTCCTCAGGCCAACTTTTCCAGTGTCCTCTTCTGAAATACTTTGCTTTTCTTGCTAGTCTTTTCAATGACCAGTTTCTCTTCTGTTCCATCTTTGGAGGCAGCAACTTTATACTATAGCTTCCTTTCTGGGAAAACGTAACATTTTAAATCATTTTGCTGGGCTCTTTGCTCTTGATTCTCAACATAGATCTAAAAGCCCCCAACAATAGCCATGTCATCACCTCAACATTAGACTGCCTTGAAATTTCTTCTGCTAGATATGTCTACCACACTTAATCTCAGTCTCAGGCAAAGTCTCTGAATGTAAGCAAAATGCAGACAAACTTTCTGCCGAGCCATAACACACACTGTCTGGAGTCCAGCAGCCAGTGCAGCCCTTCCTTGCCTGGTCTTTACTGGCAGCATTTCTATCAGCGTTCTGGTCTCTGAGCTCCAACTAGAATCTCCCCTCAAGTACAGCATAAGGCATCCCAGGGCTGGCATCTCCAAACCTTTCCAAACTTCCCAAGCCAGTTCTAAAAGCTCCTAGACCACATGGTCAGGTACAGTCTCAGCAACAACCCCACTCTTGGTTCCAAATTTCTGTCTTAGTTACTTTTCTTGTTGGTGAGACAAAATACTCAACCCCCCAAGTCAAAAGAGGAAAGTTTATTTCAGCTCATTTTGTAGAGGTTTCAGTTCGTAGTTGGCTTGCTCCAAGGCAGGGTAGCATGGCAGTCAGGCATTGCAGAGCAAGCACACAGAAGGCAGCAGGCACTAAGGGACAAGCCACAAGCGGCCTGTGACCCTCTTTCTATCCCTTCTATCTTATCCAGCCTGTCCACTATTAGGGCAGACAGCACTCACACCCAGGGTGGGGCGCCCTTAGTCCTGCCCAGAATTATGTCAAGCCAACCAGTGGACTAATTTACTAATCACACACCCTTTGGCCTGGCATCACACACTCCAAATCCAGCCACCTCCAAAAAGTCCCACCTCTGACCCCATGAGGCTTTGGGGGGACATCTAGACACGAAGCATAACAGTTTCTATGGATTTATGTGTTCTGGATTTGTTTGTTTTCTTTTTGAGACAGAGTTTTACTTGTTGTCAATGCTACTTGAAATTCTCCTGCCTTAGCCTCCTAAATGCTGGGATTATAGGCAGGTGCCACGATGCACAGCTACTTCATCTTTTAGTGCTGATAATATTCCGTTGTAGAGAGGTTGTGTACTGTTACTGTCCCTTCACTGATGGGCATTGGTTGTCTTAAACAGCACCATGGTGAGCACTTCCTGTGAGTGCTTCAGTCCTGTACCCAGTTCCTGCTGGGTCACCTCTCAGGTCTCTTACCTTTTGGAGACTTCAGACTGTTTTCAAAATGCCTGCGCTGCCACCCTGGCAGCTTCTCAGCATCCTGGTCAGCACTTGCTTCTTCCCTCCCTTCTCCCCTCCCAGCCTCCTGGCTCCTCCCTCCCTTTCTGTCCTTGTAGCCAACCCCAGGGAGTGGAGCCCTATCCCATTGCGGTTCTGAGTCACATTTTTCTTTTTATTTATTTCAGTCCTGGGGGTGGAGCCCAAGGCATGTGCCTTCTAAGCAAGGGCCCTGCCCCTGAACTACATTGGAGCATTTTTTAAAATTTGATTTTTGTCTTTTGAGATGGCCTCTTGATATGCAGTTCAGTTGGTTTTAAACTCACTATGCAGCCCAGGCTGGCCTCTAACTTGGGGTGATCCTCCTGCCTCAGCCTCGCCAGTGCTGGGATTGCAGGTGTCCAGCACACGCCTGTCTTTATTTTATTTTGACACAGGGTTTCACTCAGTTGCCCAGGCTGGCTTCCTGCTGTCTCAGTCCCCCAGTAGCTTGGATGATGGATCTATGCCACCATGCCCAGCTAATTTGCAATTTTTTTCAGTCCTAAGGATTAACCCTAGGGCCTTTTATCTAAGCTGTGTCCCCAGCCCTATTTTTACTTTTTGTTTTGAGACAGGGTCTTGCTAAGTTGCTCTAGCTAGCCATCCTTCTGCGTCAGCCTCTTGGGATGCTGGAGCTACAGATGGTGGCCCCCACAGGTGGCTTGTAATATCCCGCTGGCTAGCAGTACTGGACACCATTGCCTTCCCTGGAAAAATGTCTGTTCAGCACCTTGCTCACTTTTTGTTTTTGTTTTTTTTGGAACCTTGCTCACTTTTTAATTGGGGTTTTGTTATTGAGAACTTGGAGCTGTTCTGACCCTACTCTTATCAGATATGTAATTTGAAAATATTTTCCTGGGGCCGGGGATTCAGCTCAGTGGCTCCACCGCCTGCCTCGAAAGCCCAGGGACTCGAGTTCAATCCCTGGCACCAAAAAAAAAAAAGAAAGAAAATATTTTCCCATCTTATGGACTGTGTTTTTTCACTGTTTTAAAAAAATGAAATGTGTTTATTTAATATACGTTGCAAAGGCTCAGCCAGAGATTTAATTTTTGTAATTTCTGAGAGGGTCTCACTGTGCGGCCCAGGCTGGTCTCGAACTCATGGTGACCCTCCTGCCTCAGCCTCCCGAGTGGTAGGGTGACAGGCAGGTCGCCGCCGCCCAGCCTCTGAGGCTATTTTAAGTGGAATTGTTTTCTTAATTTTTTTTGATTGTTCGTTGCCAATATGTAGAAACACAACTAATTTTTGTGTGTTGATCTTACATGCTCCTGCATCTTTATTTTATTAGCTTTAATAGATTACTAGATTCTTGGCGAGACTGTCTCAAAATCTAAAGAAAAAAAGGGGTGGCGGGGAGGGGGCTGCTGGCCCTCGCCCGCGGGGACCTCCCTCTGACGTTTTCTCGGTCCACGCCTGTTCGAGGTGCTGAGCCCCGAGCTCCCCGACACCCTGGCTGTTCCAGGCGGTCTCGGGCAGCTCACAATCCTGCCCAGGACCTCGATTGGCATTCCCCTCTCCCCTGGCCACTGTGTCAGCACAGCCCTCAGGTCCCTCGCTGGACCCCACGTGGTGGCGCCTCGGGTCCCCCAGGCCTAGAGCCGCGGGGAACAAGCTTCTAGCGCATTCTGTCCCACTGGGGTCCTGTGGCCTGAGTCAGTTTCCCCACCTGTGATATTGGGACAAAGTCAAGCACCCACTGCACAGGGTGGCTCCGAGGCTGCGGGAAGCGATCGGGACGCAAAGCGGCTTTTTCTGTGTTCTGGGGACACTCGTCCTGTTTTTTGTGTTTTTGAGACAGGGTCTTGCTACGCTGCCCAGGCTGGTCTCCAACTCCTGGGCTCAAGTGATCCTCCTGCCTCAGCTTCCCAGTGGCTAAGACAGCGGTGCCTGCCACCACACCTGGCTCCCAGCAGCGCTCTTATCTTCCCTGTGAGGGATCTCATCTCTTGCCCACTTACTTTTTGGTCTCTTGAGGAAGTCCTGAGGGCGAGAACCAGTTTCTCTGGTTCCCTTGCAAACCTGAGCAGCTGGCCCTGTGCCTGCTCATGGCTGAGAGAGGGGGCGAGGGTGGGCGGGGAGGAGAGGCCAGGGCTCTGGGCCCATCGCCTTCCTGCCAGGGGAGGCCCTGGCCAGGCCTGCGGCCCGCACCAGTGTGGCTGTCACCACGTGGTCGGGTGGGGTCGGTGCGAATCCCGGACCTGACCGGAAGAGGAGCCTGAGCCAGGGCACACCCCGGAAGTGAGGCAGCAAGGTCAATTCACTCCATCCCGGCAATTTGGATACTCAACAAGACCCTGTTTTAACTTGAGCAATTGAGAGAGGGCTGGGGCTGGGGCTCGGTGTGAAGACTCTTCATTCCACGCCCAGAGCAAAGCAAGACAGAAACCAGAAACCGGGCCAGCCCAGCGTCCGCCCGCAGGCCCCTCCCTCCGTGGACGCAGCGCCCTCCCGGCAGCCTCTCCCTTCTGGGTCACTCCAGGTTCCAGCACTGGGTTGTTTGCGTAAGAATCAGGAGCCGTACAAGCCCCTCTGTCAAGCTCCGGGCCTGTGGTTTTCGCCACGGCAACACAGAGCCAGGCTAGGGTGCCGCCCGCTGCTGCTGCCCGGCTCTGTCCGCAGTGGGCTGTCCTCCCTCCCTCTCAACTCTCAACCTTGCTGCGCTCCTCGGAGGCCGGCAGGCGGGCGAAGCCTGGCATCTCTCACTCCAGTGTCGAGCTGTGGCTCCTTCAGTCCTTCTATTCAGCCCACGGCAGCATCGCCCTGCAGCCCCTTGAGATCCCGACCCTTCAGACCCTGTGGGTCGTCCAGTGTGGCTGTGCAGACTGGACACACGTGAGACGCTAAGCACAGGGAGCAGCTACATACTGGAGGGTGATTGCAGGGCAGGTGGACAGGTGGGCAGGTGGAGGTGGACAGGTGGCAGGTGGACAGGTGACAGGTGGTAGGTGGAGGTGGACAGGTGGCAGGTGGAGGTGGATAGGTGGAGGTGGAGGTGGACAGACGGCAGTGGCTTAGAGGTGGTGCTGGTTGCACCTGTTCCCCGTAGGAGCACAGAGCCAAGGTGGCTCAGCACCCTGGGCCTGGGATGAGCCCCGCCCCTCACTGTGCACCTCCCGACCGTTTCCCCTCTTCCTCCAGTTTCTCCGTAAAGCCCAGCGCCATCCACGGCTCCTGGCTGTGAGCAGCTGCCACTTCATTCCTTCCGTTTCTGCAGAGTCACGCTGTTCGCCTGCCACAGTGTTGCCCGTGTGCGCTGTCCTGGCCGAGACCCTTGACTGTCCCGCCCCTCGGGACACCTGTGGTCGCCGCCCCTCCTCCGTCCAGAGGCGGAGGAGACGTTTGGGGCGGCCCCCAGAGTCCCCTCCCCGCCCACCTCTCCCGCGTCCCCTCGACCTCCTCCTGGGGGCGCGGCGGGCTGAGGTGACAGCAAGTCCGCCTGCCCTCCGGGACCGCGACAGGAAGCGCTAGGCCGGCGCCGCGGGGACCCAAGGCCCAGCAAGCACGCGGGAGCAGGGCAGGTGAGGCTGCCAGCCTGGGAGGGAGAGGCCAGGGTCCCGCACCTGTGGGAGGGCCTGGACTCCTCGTTGCCCCGTGTGGTTATAGCTGGCTTCCGCCCTGCCCAGGACGCCTGCTCGGGGTGGCTGCTCCCTTCCCGCCGCCTGGGCCCCGCTCTGCCACGGGCACCGAACCGAGGAGGAGCCAGGTGGACACGGCGCGGCCTGGGCTGGCCTCCCGCATGGCCCCGGGGGCTCCCACGGTCAGCTGCCTCGCAGGTGCAGACCTGCATCCAGGTATCTCCTAGCGCTGTTGTAATTACTTCTTAGGAAGGCGCTCTCGGAGACGTCTGGGAAGCGCTTGTGCAGTGTGGGGGAAAGCAGGGGAGCGAATGGGCTGCTGGCTGAGGGCGGCTGCTGTGTTCGATCTTTGTTTTCCTCCTCCTCCTCCTCCTCCTCCTCCTGCTCCTCCTCCTCCATCTCCTCCTCC